GTCCTTGTTCATGCATCAGTGAAATGGGTACCTTCATTTGTACAAGGAATTAAATGGAATGGAAACCAATGTGAGAACATGTTTTTCCCTGCTGCAGACAATAGGGACAAAACAATGTAGTATGATGGGGTAATTAAGCCGTCCTCATCAAGGGTTTCATAAGCTGGGCCAAATCATTTCCTCCTCAAGCTTTCCCCTAAAGTTTGTTATCCTTATGGAAACTCTGAACTTACCCTGAGCCCATTGATACCTCCCTCCTGAATGTGTGTGGCTGATTTGTTTACGTTAGCAACATTGGCCTGAGCATTGGCCATTGAAGGAATGGCATAGCACTCAACACAACACTGTTTTTGAAAATGAACGCTTGCCACAAAGGCTGCTCCATTGCAGCAAATAGGCATTGCCCCACCAACCTCATTCTTCCCTCAACCAGCCCCCAACTGCCTGCCTTCTTGCACCTAGTCCAGGGGATGGCACTGCTTATGGCAGCTTTCTTCTCCTTATTATCAGTCTTCCCAGTTGTAGAACATAACAGGGAGGCAGATGAGGACCAGAGCAGAATTAATTGGCTCTGCTCATCATTGGCTTTGGCTCCATCTCCTGTTGAGGTCTCTTCCTTCTTCCCCATGAGTTCCAAAAGTCATCAGCCACCAATGTTCATTTGAAAATGCTTTTTAGAACAACAGTGACAACAACAAAAATGCTACTTCCTCTTTCATAGTTAAATAGTGTCCAGGGGATAACCAGCCTTCCTCTGGAAAAGATATTAAAAAACATGGGGCAGAGCATTTAGAAATACAAACATTCAAAGCTGCTCGATTCAATATCTGCAACCAACCAAAAGAGGAAGTATTTACCACCTTCTTCTTGGAAAACAAACCCATACGGTAAAGGAATAAGCCATTATCGCTAGTTTGATATCATAGCAGTAGGTAAGAAAAATATCATTAACTGTCTCATACAGGAGTGTGATGTAAGAAGATAATGAACACTGTTGGAAACAGGATGTTGGATGAGGTGGGTTTTTGGTCTGGCCCAGCAGGGTGTCCCGTGTGTGTTTATCCTCTTATAAATGTCATATTTATTTCTCTTGAAAGCATTTTCACATCAATGTTTTCCAGTACAGTTACCATGAAGACCATCGATCCAGCCTTTCTTTTGCTGTTGTCAGTAAAATTGCATTTTTCTTTTCTTTTTATATTTTCATTCTCTATTTGTAGCTACCTGCATTGAAAGCATGTTTAATGTTTTGTTTGATTTATGGCAGATGCATTCCATGAGTAGCATCCGAGAGAAAAACCAAACGATCATAACGCATTTCGTCCTGCTGGGGTTTAGCGATCTCCAGGATCTGCAGATATTCATCTTCCTGATCTTTCTGTCCATCTACCTTGTGACCATGGCTGGGAATATCCTCATTGTTGTTCTAGTCATTTCTGACCAGCACCTTCACACACCCATGTACTTCTTTGTGGGTAACCTATCCTGCTTAGAGACCTGCTATAGCTCAACCATTTTGCCAAGAATGCTAGCCAGCCTTCTATCCGGAGACAGAACCATTTCTGCAAAAGGATGCATGCTGCAGTTCTGGCTCTTTGCATTTCTAGCAGCAACGGAATGTTATCTCCTGGCGGTGATGTCTTATGATCGATATCTTGCAGTTTGCAAACCGCTGCACTATGCAGCCCTTATGGACAACCGTCTCTGTGTCCAGTTAGTGCTCGTATCTTGGCTAAGTGGCTCGTTAGTAGTCACCACAATTACACTAACAATGGCACAGTTCAGTTTTTGTGCTCCATACGAAATAGACCATTTCTTTTGTGATTTCATGCCATTGATACAACACCTGTGCAGCGGTGCCCATTTTCTGCTGTTGTCCAGTTTCATCACTACCTCTGTGTTTACCTTTCCGCCATTTCTGCTGACCATTGCTTCGTACATTTACATCATCACTGCAATTCTGAGAATCCCATCTGCCACGGGGAGGAAGAAAGCCTTTTCCACCTGTTCCTCCCACCTCTCTGTAGTCACTATCTTTTACGGGGCATTAATGGTAGTGTACATGTTCCCAAATACAGACACGCTGAGCCGAATGAACAAAGTCTTCTCTCTCTTCTACACGGTCTTTACACCTCTGGTCAATCCTCTGATATACAGCTTGAGGAACAAGGAGGTGAGCAAGTCTCTGAAAAGAGCCATCGACAAATGCGTGCCAACACAAAGGCTCACAATAATTTCTCATTAAAGTAAATGGGTGTGTGAGACACAGGGCACTTACACACAGTGGTTTATTGTAGATGTGGTGCTTCTCATGCAAGCATTTTTACTCCCAGCATCCATATGATTTTATCCTCACCAAAATGCCATCCCACATGCCCTCCATTTAATCTGTATTTACAGCTTCCGTGTTTGTTTTTGTTTTGTTTTGTTTTGTTTTTGTTACCTAATGGGCCTGAGTTTAAATGGGATTCTGATACATCTGGATTAAATTGGGAAATAATATTAGATGGCTTTTTAAAAAAAAAATTAAAATATTGGGTTACAAAAAATACCTGCATGATCTCTTTTTCAGGTCATAGAGCCATTTTACTTTCCAGTTGCATTCAATGTGAGACATTAATGTTGCATACAGTGTGAGGTTGGGGGGGAGAGAATGGGGAGAGAGTGAGAGAGGCTGCGGTGGTAAAGCTTGCGTCCTTTTACTCAGGTTTTTTGTGTCAGCATCACTTGAGTAGATTTTCTTTCTATTCACTTATTATTTTTTCCTTGTCAGGGACAGAGGTTGAGGGGGGCATGCAGGGCATGGTTGGTTGTCTTTAGTTGACTGCAGTTAGATTTGTTTGCATGGGGGGAGGGCACGCGATCAGTGTGTAAGTGTGTTTGTGTGTTTCTAACCCAGTGGACAGATCATTACATTCAACCATTTTTTATTTGGAGTAGTTCCATTGAAATTAATGAGCCTGAGTTAGTCATGGTGATTAATTTCAATGGGTCTACACAGAATAAAAAATAGATGAATGCAGCCCACTGCTTTTTAAACCTCTCATTATTCTGTCTGCAAAAGAGGTCCTTGAAACTTTCATGTCTGCATAATGACGAAAGGAAACTTCTCATTTCCACTGTGGATTATACTTCCCCTCTGGTCTTTTGCTGTGTGAAGGAGGCTGGGGAGATTTGTTTCCCTCACTATGTAACTTAAATTAAGCAAAGTAAATAATAAATCCATGGGGAGTTTTGCATCCTTAACTAAACCTTTGAGAACTACTTGCTCAACATGATGTCTTATAACTGCCAGGAGACACTATACTGCAGCCTTCACCAATGGCTGGGGCTAATGAGAACTGTGGTCCAAAAGACCTGGCAGGAACCACATTGAAGAAGGCTACTTTACAGCTAACAAGAAGCAGATCTCCCCTGTTCTGTTCATTCCTTGGGGCAGATTTGAACACACTCCAATCTGTTCAGGAAGAGATTGCTCAAAGCTCTTCCTCTTCTGCTTCTATGTGTGGGTACAAATTGTCTGACAACATGTGTTTTAACTGTGCAATCCTAGATTTCCAGTATGCATTTGAATCCATCCCACAAAATACACATGGTGTGGAGGTAAGCCAGGTCTTTTCAGGAAAGGAAGAAAAACCATATACAGTGGTACCTCAGTTTTTGAACGTAACCCATTCCAGAAGACCGTTCTACTTCTGAAACGTTTGAAAACCAAGGCACAGAAAATTGAGAAAAGTACAGTGGTACACTCAGCGGAAACCGTTTGACTTCCGAGGCCCGTTCAAAAACGGAAGGATTTACTTCCGGGTTTTCGGCGTTCGGGTTCCAAAACATTCGGCAACGGAGACGTCCGAAAACCGAGGTACCACGGTATTCAAATTTCAGCACACCTTTTTTGGGGGCACAATGAACAGCAATGCCATCCTGCTCAAGGCCTGTTGAAATGAATGGGAATTTGTGAAAGTATGGCACAGTTCCAGTTCAATTTGCTGAGGTTTGTTTCAAGAGAAACTCGTGGTAGCTTGAAAGAAAAAGGATACACATTTATCAGGTATTAATCTACAGTTATTCAAGGGATTTCTGACATTTAGTAATTTAAAAGCGATCCAGGCTGAGGACTAGTGAAATGGCTGGAGGGCTAGCCTTGAATTGGACAGATCTGAGTTCAAATCTGTGCTCAGCTCTAAAGATTTCTTTGGTTTATCATTCTCTCTCAGCCTGATCCACTCTACAGTGTAGCTGTGAGGATACATTTATGTGTGTTTGGGTGGGTGCCTTGACTCCTCTAAATTACTGGGTCTAATGGGTGTTGGTGTTTAATCACTGCTTGGAGTATTGAGATTGGCTGCCACACACTGAATTTAGCAGTGTCAAAATACAAGCCAAACCAGTTTTTCCATTCTCAGAAAATCATCATGGAGAACAAAAGGAAGGCAATGGGAGATTAACCAAGCAGACACCAAACAAAGACAGTAGATGGGTGTGAGAGATAGCAGAGACAAAGCTGTTTGCTAGCATATGGGCTAGAGAGAAAAAGTGTCAATCAGTTAAAGCCAGCAAGCTGAGCAGAGGGACAGAGCCATGTTTGATTTCTTTTTTGATCCAAGGCTAAATCAATGGGAGAAACAGGACCCTATTGGAGTGCAATGCTTTGAACCCCTCCATCATCGGCTCAGGTTGCATATGTGTGTAAATAATCATCGACTCAGGTTGCATATGTGTGTAAATAAGCCATACATAATAAATACACTACCGTCTCCGCTATGCTTCATTTCCAATGGAAACACAAACCCTGACTAAGTGTCTGGACCCCTGGAATTTTGCACTACTCTGAGACTGGGGTGGCATGTAACGCACACAAACAGTCACCTTGAGCTGCATGGATGAACAATGAGATAGAGATAAGATAGACTGATGGTTAGAATCCAATGGTCAGCAGCAGCTTGCAAATCACTACAAAACCACGTGAGAGAAATTGAAGACACTTTGCCAAGATGCCAAAAGATGTTTTATGCACTGCATTTTTCTTAGATCATTTTAGGTATATAAAAGTAATTAAATTGTTGTAACACTGATAACACAGCTGACAAGTGGGGCTTAAATCTTGCTCAGTTTGCTGGAAAGAGCCGTAGCAAGCAGATCCCTTTTTGCCAGGCTAGGTGAAGGAAAGCAGGGAGTTCTCCATTCCCCTGATAAGAATCTGGCCCTAACCAAAAATATTCTGCAGCTCTAAGGGATAAAAATCCATGACTTCTGATGGAGACTTTCACCTTGAAAACCACTCATCAAAGTTTTATTCTCATTGGAGCTTTGAAAAGAACCTTGGCTGCATGAATAAAATGGACCCAGGATGGTTCAGATACTCAATCATAGATATAAGACCAATGATGATGTTTCGTTTTTATCCCACCTTTGTCATGCTATAGCACAAGAATGACCCTCAAATAGTGCAGCAACAAACACTGTTGTTGTTGGCCTCCATCTATCTCAGGAGACAATGGAAGAGTGTGCCTTTGTGAGTGAAGCTAAACTGTTGGATAATTACGGCGTCTGCTGTGGCTGTAGAGACTGATACAGGAGAGACATGTTGTGTTGCAGCTGGGGCAGATGAAGGAGTCTGGTTGTGCTACTGCATTGTGGAAGAACTAATAAAACAGTCCAGTATAGACTCACTACTAATGCACTATTATAATTAAATCAACAACATGCTGAAGAATACACCAGTCTGGCGAGGCCCAAAGATTACTTGTAAGTTGCAGCCTACATCAACAATATGACCCTCATTCTATGTTTTGTTGAGGTGCACAGAATCACCACACACTGGCGCACGAAGGTGGGGGGTGGAGGGAGTGTTCCACTCCAGGTGCCATTCCTGGGGGGTTCCATCGCAGCAGGGGCCCCCCCCACCCAGGATGCCTGCCGCTCACCGTGCACCCTTGGGATGCGCGATGCATGCCCCTTGCCCCACAACGTGCAACGTGTGCCTCCCACAATGCGTGCCAGCCATGCCCCTGCCTGTTCGCCGCTCTAGGTGCCAGAGCATGTCGCTTCGCCACGGTCACCACCACAACAACAAACTGTTCTGCTAATTTGAAAGTTCCATACTGAAAAGGGCTTGAGAAGAATCAGAAGGATGAGGCAGGATCTTGGATTGTCATTTCTTCATCCTTTCCATGATCTTCACCTCTGCTGTATTCTTTGGGCAGGATGTTTCCATGCTTTCCATTATCTAACCTTTTCACCCCTCTGGAAGCTACAAGGCAATTAGGATCTGCAGGGAAAGAAGAAGCAAAATGTTAGGTGCATGATTGATTGATTTGTTTGGTCTCTTTGTTATTCATTGGTGTGCTGAAAGTTTGAGAGAATGCTTAGACAGAGGAGGAATTTTTTCACCAGAAGATCAGTGTGTGTGAATGAATTCCTGGAGGACAGAGCAGAGCTGACTGTACTATGAGGCAACAGGAGGCAGCCACATTGGATGGCAGAATCTGGGCATCAGAAAAGAGTATTTTTCATCTTCAGTTTCTTAAATTTACTATAACCTACCAAGACAATTTCTGTGGTGAAAGACTGTGCTAATGATATACACACACACTTGCCAACTAAGAATAATGCTCCATGCATCTGATCGAGTCAAATTTATGAAAACTCATGCCATAATTAATTTGTCATTCCTTAAAATGTCTCAGGACTCTTAGCTGTTTCTGTTTTTGCTGTAGCAGGCTACTGCTCTTATACTGTAACTACATTTTTATCCAATACCCCATTATTATTACTTTTTATTCCAAATGGTTTAAATTATAAATACAGCTCAAAAGTATTTTCCAAATGTTGGTATCCAGTTTCCTTGTCATATTCTGAAATAAGCACTGTATAATTATTCAAGTCTCATCTCCAAAACATAGCATTTCATCGATTTCTGTCCTTTTCTGAACTTTGCTGTCTGATTCTGTTTTGAGACATGCACAGCTTGGGAATAAGATACCGGAACCAGTCACAGCTCACAACTGTAAGCAATCTGGATCCAATAGCAAGCTGGGCTTCTCAATTAATTTCTTGCATAAGAAGAACTCTGCTGAGTCAAATCAAAAGCCTATCAAATCAAAAGTTTCCCAAAGCAGCCAACCAGATGCTTTCATGTTCTTACCTGCAGGGTCACAGTAAGCCCTTTCCTGAGTCACATCAGTTTTAGACTTCCCAACAACTACTAAAAATGAAAGAAAGAGAATAATAATAATAAATAAGAGATATTCAAAGGGAAAGAACTGTAATTTCTGCCTTATCATCTTAATGTACAAGATGGATTGAAACAGTTAAAAATAACTTTATTAAATTTTTTGGCTTCTGGTTATGATGGCGACAGGCTAGGCAGCCAGCTCCAGAGCTTCACAGATTTTAATCGAGGTTTAATTGATTTTCACTCGTTTTAAACCAAGCATTTTATTAACTATCAACTGTTCTTTTAATCTGGAAGCTGGGGAGCAGAAGAATGTGGAGCTGTGAGATAATAAATAATTAACAAACTTGGAGCTTATCTGTTCTGTCAGCATCCCATTCATCAAGTGGAAGCAAGGAAGGTGGCTGAATTTGACACTGTAACTATTAAGATTTTAACTTAGTCTTTTGAACCTAAAATGTCATCCAGAGGCAAGAAAAGAATCCAAATCAGTACCAGTAATGATACTGGGGTTCATAAAGCCAGTAATTTTATATAAAATATTTTAACCTGCTTTTCATTCCAAGATCTCAGGGTGAGGAACAATAAAACCTCATCGCTGGCTGGGAGCAGCAGCATGTCCCTTAAATTACCATGAAGTCATAATAGAAGGAAAACAAATAAGCATTACTTTGGGGTGTCTTTCAGATGTTGTTGGGCTCCAAATCTTATCTTCTCCAGCCAACATTGCCAATGCTCAGGGATGATGTGAGTTGTATCCCAACAACTTCTGGGGGTGGGGTGTAAAAGGTTGCTTAGACACCCTAATACACATATCAGTGTAGGTCAGTACATAATGCTATTTTTGTGCCTCTGCCTTCTTTCTAGACTTATGCCATATCTTGCTGGTCTTAATTAGACCAGCGGTTACCATCTGCTGCTTGTTGCTTTGCTTTACTTCCACTTTGGTAGTGCAGAAGGTTCTGAACCATGAAGCTGGCTATCATGGACAGGCTTACTAGTATCAGCACAGTAGCTCCATTTTCCGTCTTTGTCATAGCTGCTTGTTGTTGCACACCAAAACATCCTGGGCATGACTTCTTCATCTGTGCAAGTATAGAATGTCCTCCCGTTGTAAACAAAGGGGAACACACAGGGCTTTCCATGAGAGTTGCCGCCATGCTCTGTTTGGAGACAAGAAATATATGAGGCAAATATTATGACACCAGTTTAATGGAGAGTCTATGTGCTTCACAACACACTGAGACAAGCAAATTTCAGCATATTTAGGACTGCACTGAATTATGACTGCAAAGTTTCATTGGTGTTTTGGCATAATAAGCAGCAGAGTGATATGGATTCATAGTTGCACCCAATATTCATAAATGGCTAAGCTGGGAGGACCATTACACATAATATTCTCCAAGAGATGGCTGATGTTCTCCAAATTCTCCAAAGGTTCAGGCTGAAGTTGAAAAATAATTTCTTCAAAAATTGACCAGACTTTTTTTTCTGAGAAATTTCAACTCAGATCTAGGTAATACCTCATGTATCTTCTGCTAACTCCTTGGATATGTTAACTGCAATTCCTAAAAGATGTCATTGTAAACAAGTCATAGAAACTGATGGTAATCTTATTACTTCTGCCAGAGATAAATTAGCATACAAATGAAAGAATATGGAAGATCTGCAGATAGATATCTGCTTAAAATGCCTGTTGGGTACATGTTACAATGAAGCTCAAAACACTGCGGCCTGGTTCCCACAAAAAGCAAACAGTAAGCCTGTTTCTTGGCTGTACCACTTCAGAGTAATTGAGCCCAAATTACATCATACTAAAATTAACCAAAGTCATTCAGCAAATTGCAGAAACCAGACTTGCATAGAAAGTTCCATTCTTGGGCAAGCTGACTGAACTTGCATTGGATTCTCAAAGTGTTTCTGAATGATACAAATCTAGATATAATTAACTGAGTCTCTCTCTCTAATGGCTGTCTGCAACACTGCAAACACCACTTGTTTTTCAAAATTATTTTGGATAGGTCACACCACCAGACTAATCTGACTGTTAATTGTCTTGATGCTGCTCTTATCCTATTCATGGAATTAGCTTTTGTTTAATATATTTTTATCACATTGTTTTGAAATATATAATTTAAAATTACTGTGATGGTGATTACTACAACCACTGCTACAACAACTGAATTGTGGTGCTTGGCAGCACAGAAATACATTTGCGACATACAGGAACTCATCTGCTCATTCTGTAGGGTTTGAGGTTGTTTTCTTTCATCTCTTGTGGGTGAAACAAGAGGAGAAGAGCTTCAACACTAAGAAGAGGAGAGCAGTTCTATGCACACTTCGCAGATCACTTTGCTCTGCAGTAGAGGGCCTACTGCAGATACCATCTCATCAGGACTTTCTTTCCATATGGTATGGAAACCAAGCCTTTAGGATAGTGATACCTATCCTTTGGAACTCTTCTCTTGTTAAATATTGGACTGTTGTCATCTCTATTGTCTTTCTGCTGCCTATTGAAGTGATTGTCTTTATCCCGGTCTGCATCTGTATCAAAACGTTTCACCATTGGTCTCCAGAGCCATAGCAGGCACTGTAAGCGCTCCCAATGGTTTGACTTCACCCCTGAAGTCATGGTCTCTTCCATGGTCTCCTGAGACAGACAAATGCCAACAATAACAATCGTCATTAGATTTCAAATTGTTCTTATATATATGGAACAATTTTTAATTATTTGTATAAATGACATTGTTTGTACATACGAAATTGTTTTTAATTGTTGATTATTTTTATTGTGAAATTGCTTCAATATCTTTTTAGGGAACCTGCCCTGATGGGCAGAGTATAAATAATAGTAGTAGTAGTAGTCATAGTAGTAGTAATTCAAAAATGAAGTCAAATAAATAAATCCCATTGAACTCAGTAGAATTTACTTCTTAGTAAATATGTGTGTGTGTGCATACACTTCCTTCACTGAGATTTTCAAACTCTGGTGATGTGGTTACCTGTCTCATAGCAAGACTTCCAATGGTGGTCTTTGTCATAGGAACTGGTTGTAGCACACCACAACCAATGGAACCTGGATCCATCTTTGGTGCAGGTATGATATGTCTTGTTTTTATAGATAAACGGGAAGACACAGGATGAAACGTCTGAAACAGTTAAAGAAAACGGGTAAAGACCATTGTGATTTAAATTTAGTAGATCATATTATTTTAATGTTGTTTTCCACAACTTCGTAGCCTACAAAAAGAAGAAGAAGAAGAAGAGTTTGGATTTGATATCCTGCCTTTCACTCCCCTTCAGGAGTCTCAAAGCGGCTAACATTCTCCTTTCCCTTCCTCCCCCACAACAAACACTCTGTGAGGTGAGTGGGGCTGAGAGACTTCAAAGAAGTGTGACTGGCCCAAGGTCACCCAGCAGCTGCATGTGGAGGAGCGGAGACGCGAACCCGGTTCCCCAGATTACAAGACTACCGCTCTTAACCACTACACCACACTGGCTCTCTGGTATTGAATTCCAGATATTAAAGAATGTTTGTAATCGGCCCTTGAACATCAGTATCATTTATACTGAACACTGAATAATTCCTTCCTCTTCAAAAAAAAAAATTGGGGGGGGAAACACCATGAAACATGCAATGTAAGCTTAGGAAGTCACAAGAGGGGTTTTTTTGGGGGGAGGTGGAGTTCACTGACTTTAGGAAGATAAGAAGCTGTTCTAGTGAACCATACCACTGTTGCATCTATTTCAGCACTGACTAGTAGTCTCTCTCAAGGATTTCAGATGCAGGTTTCTCCCAGTTCTACCTGGAGATACTGGAAACTGGACCCAGAACATTCTGCATACAAATCAGATGCTTTACAGCTGAGCTATGACCCTTCCCAAATGACATTTCTCACAATTAATTAATACTGGAGCTGTGGGATAGTAAGCGGCATTCGTGTACCAATATATACAATGATATTGTGGACCTGGGAAAGGTATGGGAAAGTGCCTGCAAAATGATCCTTGGGGAGGGGGGACCCCTAAGTGTTTGGAGACCTTGAGGTAGAGAGAATAAACATTATGTATAATGTGGAAACACAGGATAGAGAGCAGTTTTAAATCTCTCCTTTATAATGCTACATAATACTCAGAGACACCCAATGAAAGTGATTGGCAGGAGTTTCAGGACAGATAAAATATTATATCATTATATCAAGCATAATTAATTTTACAAGGTGATAGCCATTAACTTCAATGACTTTGACAGGAGGAAAGCAGCACCAACTACTCTTAGCCATAACAATTAAATGCTTTCCGTCTGTATTCCACTGTATACCAGTTGTTGGGGAGTACATGGATGGGGAAAAGGGGTTCTCTGCATGCGCCACCCATTGCCTTAAGAAAAACAATCGCCTGACCAAAACTGAATGGAGTATGCTGAAACAGACTTGGACTGATCCAGCAGTGGTCATTTTATGTTTTCATGCACTATCATTTGCAAATGACCAAAATAAAAAGTCTAATGTCATGCAGCCTTCTGCCTTATCAGGTCTCTTTGCCACCCCCTTCTGCCATGAAGGGGGAACTTCATGTGGGGCACTGGCATGGCACTGTCCTCACAGTGACTGCTGCTTTTTAGTCCTTCTCCTCTTCAGTCACTTCTCACTCAAGAAGGCAGTGGGTGGGGATGAGAAGAAGCAGAGCAGAGCGTATACCTATATGGGCCACCAAAGGAACTAGAAGGAATGTGTCAAGGAGATACAACATGGTTCCTCAGAAGCCACAGCTGTCAGGCTCAGTAGCAAAAGAGACATTGCCTCCTCAGCCCATAGCACAACTATTCAGCATTACATAACACTTCCTGCTCAGTATTGCCCTGATTCTTCTTTAAACTTTGCCCACTGGACTTGTTCCACAGCCCAGGCAAGGAAAGCATCTTCTGTACCTCGCACAAATGCTTCTTTTCCACTTCTACCCTATATATATTAACAGTGCAATCCTATGCAATCTTACTCAATAGTAAACCTCACTAAATCCCCCAGTAAACAGATGAGAACATGATGTTGCTCTTTAAATAAAAAAGAGATTTCGATACTCCATACAACTCAATGCCACCAGGGGAAAAAATCATTGTTTCTGAGTCAACATGTTCTTCACAGCTTCTCTCCTGGGACAAGAGCTTCCAATCTTAAAGTAATGAAGCAGGAAAGAATAAAACAGAAGAAGGGAGATAGTTCCTGCTGTGCAGTGTTGGGGAGGCAGAAGGAAATTCTTACCTGGACGTGCTGAACTGAAGGGTAACAGGACCCAGGTACAAACTAGGAGTTGAGTGATGAACCACATGCTGATCACCCCAGAGTTTGAAATCCCTGTGCTTCTTTATGGTGTCCTCTTTTTAGCACAGTCTCCACACACCCTTAATTATGGTTGCAAAACACTGCACTCCATAAATAGCCATGACACTCATACCAGACAAAGGAATCTCAAATACTAAATACTGGGACAAGAAACTCAAAAGAGGTGTGTATGTGCCAATCAGCTGGGCTAGGCCATTTTTTCCCCCTTTCCTGTATCCCTGCACTGCTTTGGCATGCGATTTCCCACATACGTAATACTTCTGAAATTACAGTGAGCAAATAATTGGTGTTAGGTCTGAGCTATAATTCATTGCTAGCTGCAAAACCCTGAAGGCAACACCTCAGCTTCAGAAGAACTTCACTGTCATTCTGAATTGGCTGTTCTGAGAGTGGGGAGTAGGGCCTTTTTAAAAAACTTCCAGCACCTCCCAGGTGGGCTCCATTGCCAATTTAAGAGAACAAGGGAGATGTTCCTTGTGAGTTCCAGTACCTCTTTTTCTAGAAAAATAGCACTGGTGGGGGGTGTTATAATCCTGACACACTGACTTTCCACACTCCCTTCAAAGACCTCTATCACTGCTGAAAATTATTAGCAATTCCAAGACATGTAACCATGGGTGTAGCCAGGGGGGTGGGGGTTAGCTGCCACTCCTAAATTAAGTAAACAAAAACACTTAACTGAAATTAGATATAATCAGAATATTTGAAACTGACATGCTTGCAGAGGTCACTTGGATGATGTTGTGGCACATTCTAACAACGCAACTGGCAACACAACAGAGAGATACGGCATGGTTTCCACGAACTCATGGAAATATTTTCTGTTTCCATAAAAAAAAAAAGACTCTGCTTGTCTCTAGGGTTGGCATATTTCAAAAAGTAAAAACCAGGACACCAACAAAGTTGTTGAGCTTTTTTGCTTATGAAAGCACCGGAATTGTTGAGCAAAGAAACCGTGATTTTTTGATAGGTGTATCTCTCTTGCTCAGCCATGCACCACTTGTAACGTATAGGGGTCATTCAGTACCTTGCAAAGAATAGAAATCTGGCTAAGGTCAACAGTGGCAGGGGAGTGTCTCAATGGGCTATGCTTACTGAGTGTGTACAGAAAATCCAAGAAAACTTGTTCTATAACAAGCAATGCAATGATTGCAACAAGCTCGACATAATTAGAGTGAACTCAGTTCCCTCAACAACCCATTAATTAAAAAAGGGGAACTGGGTCCAATTTTGTTCTCAGAGCACCCTAGTGGAATGAAGTGAAGCTTGGAAAAGCAAACAGCATGAGAGATTTGTGTCCAGTTCTGTAAAAGTGTCTGGGATTTCAAATAACTTACTTTTTAAAAACTTTTCCCCCCCAAAATGAACAATTTCCTGCCCCGGTAATGCAGGCTTCTCTGAAACCATATTACTGACTCATGCAACAGTTCCTGGTAATCTTGTTGATCAACATCAAACTAATCCTTGTTATTAATCTAAGGGCTGTGTCACATATTACATTTTGTAAATGCACATTTAAAATGTTTTACATTCATATATACAAATATAAAGTAGGAATGCAATAAACATATGAGTCATAACCTGGGAGCCAGGATTAGCATGGTTCCCAGTTAACAATAAACTCAATATGCCATAAATTCTATGAAATGTTCTTTCTATTCATGATGCTTGGTCACAAATATGTGCAAACGAGAAAGTATTATGCATACTGTGCATATGCTATTTTGTGCCACCAACATTTCTCATAAAGTGAAATTAGATGTGACTGTTGAGGTTTTTTATCAAATGAACCCATTTCAATCAAGGTTTAGGCCTGGTTTTGGCACAGGAACTGCTTTGATCACCCTATATGATGACCTCTGTCAGGAGAGAGATAGGAGAAATGTGTCTCTGTTAATTCTCATTGACCTCTCAGTGGCTTTCAATACCATCAACCATGATATCCTTCTGGAGTGGCTGTCCGAGTTAGGAGCGGATGACAGTATCAGTTTGCATTTCTTAGTACAGAAAGTATTGATCTGATGTGTAGAGATCTTTCCTGTTCTAATTAATTCAAGAGGGTTCTGGAAGCTTCTCAGTGTGAAAGAAGCAGAAGGTTCCTGATGTTTGGGTTACTCCTTCAGAGAAGCTGAGTACAGCTGGCTTCAACTGGTTCTGTTATCTCTTTCTGTCAAGGTCATGCTTTGGATGTTTGGGTGAAGTGTGTGATAGAACACACAAACTCTCACATATACAACCAGCCACATGTACATATTTTCATTCATCCTATGAAGACTATGCAATCTCATTGATGCAATTGCAAAAAGTTTCTCCCGCACTTGTCATATTTCATAGTGATCACTCATTGTACATTTTTTTATGCTGCCCAGCAAACTAGAAGAAATGTTTTATTTTTGTAGCACAAAGATACAGTTTGACAAAGATTAATAATCTCCCACTGCCACATCTTATTTATTTGTAGGCCACCTCACAGGGTAAAGCCCTCCCAAAGCAGATATATATATATAAGTCACAGGATCATCATTCTTCTAAATTGTTTGCAGCACAACCCACTTAGCAAGGCTTCTAGTCGGCACACCCAATGACCTTTCTTTTACCCATCCACCTGTTGTGATCCAAACTGGATAGCTGGAATCACTGACATTCATCGCCGCCACCTGGTTGAACTCCTGGAAAACGAGAACAGAGTAGTCAAAATACCATTAATGTTGAACAGTTCCAATGAAACTTATAGCCCAAATGATTAAAAAATGGAAAGGATTCTTCCAACTATCAAGTCCTGGGAAGTACAACAGATTTACTTCATAACATATATCTAGAACAAACCTGTGGACTCAGACACTGTGACCCAGAATTCTCTCCCCATGCTAAACATCAGTGACTCATCATAGCATTGCCTTTTAGCACTTCCACACCTTGCATTAGAGTCATATTGCAAGCACCATACATCAAGTTTTCAGCACCCATGGAGATTGGGCTTTTTCCAGATCCATTCCCGTTTGATCAACTAATGTCTACTGAATGCTCCGTACGCACTGTACAATGTCAACTCATTTCTGCAAATGTTAGTCATGCTCAGAGTAGACCCACTGAAATTAATGGGCATGGCTAATTTCAGTGGGTATACTCAGAGTACATGTTAGTGGGATATGACCCACTGCACTTCTGGGTGCATTTATACATAAAATCTTGAACAATGAAGAGAGTTTTGGCACTGTTAGCAAAAAAACCATAGCCCACAAACAATCATGTCACCACAAGGGCTAAATTGCATGCCATGGTGACAAGTCCGCAATAAAACAAAGGAATTGGGGTGTCATCTGAAGTATCAAATGGGCAGGCAAGCAGGGCTTGCTAAATCAAACTAAAATTCCAGTCAGCTAGCAGCGTTTTCTGGTCTTGACTGTGTGCCAAAATGTGACGGGCAGTGAGCCACATATACCTGAATTGGGTGGAAGTCAACCTATTCTTTTCTTTGATTTGGAGTCTGGTTGGAGGGTGTGACTTAACGACGCATCACACTTCTTTCTTTGATTTAGCAACCAAAATATCTACCTCAACACCCTTTGAAACACAATACGACATCAAACATTAAAAACTTCCTTGAACAGGGCTGCCTTCAGGTGTTTTCTAAACTTAGTAGCACACTACCATCAGCATCATCTTACTTGTGTCAGCGCAGTAGCTCCACTTCTTGCCCTTATCATAGTTGCCTGTTGTTGCACACCAGAACCTGCCATGATCAGAATCCTCATTGGTGCAGGTAAAGAATTTCCGGCCCTTGTAGGTGAAGGGGAAGACACAGGCCTGGCCATTGGAGTTCCCTTCATATTCTACAGATGCAGGGAATACAAAAATAAGAAGGATCAAAAAGGAAAAAGTGTTTTAAAATTATGTATTGAAGAAGTGGACAAAGGCCAATCACTCAGGGACTGAGCAACCTTTCTAGGGTTGCCATATGTCCTCTTTTTCTAGGACATGTCCTCTTTTTCAAGATTAAAATTTCTGTCCTGCAGATTTTTAAAATTTGGCAAAATGTCCAGGTTTTTTTGGTTTGGTTTTTTTGTTTACAGTAACCCAGGAATTTTTTTATAGTGCATTAGACTCAGATTTAAGGCACCCAGCTAAGCTAGGCTGCAGCAGAGAGTCACAACAGAGCAGAATTTTAAACTAGCTATATACTGTATAAATCCCTTCTCTTGTGGCTGAACTAAAAGGACACTGGCTCAGCTACAAGATCTTGGAGAAGGAGTCTGGGAGAGCAACAGTTAACATCCCCCTGTCCTTAAGGAGAGTCCGTATGTACACGTCAAATAGTTTAATAAATTGTTCTGTGCACATTTATGCTCACAAAGATGTGGACATGAGCTGAAATACTTTCATGTGCCAATTGAGGTAGCAATATGTATTATTATTATTATTTTGTTGTTGAAAGTTAAGAACATTGCTACTAGCAATATATCACAGCTTCTATAGCCTATATATAGTAGGGTATTTAAAATGAGAGTTGTCATAGCGATCTGTAGCTAAAAGTAGAAGTTGGCAAATGTGTCCTCTTTTTTGCTCTTCAAAATATGGCAACCCTAAAAGCTCAGACTATACTTTTGATTTCCATAATCGACTTCAAATGGTGGGTAGTGTTTTCGTTTAAACTATATGTAAATTCTCAGGTGGCGTGTCCATATTTGGTTCCAAGCCAACATTTCCCCAAGCATTCCTATCCCATGTTCTGTTTTCAGTCCTTTTTGTTCAGATGTTGCATGAGTCTACAAAACAATCGGATTGCAGCCCCCGTTATTTCCTCCTTAGGGGTAGGAGGAGACCACCAGTGCCCCCTATTCACCGAGAAGCCACTATAGAGGCAGCATTGAGGAGGCTGCCGAAGAGACAGCAGATCTTGCCTCCAAGGAGCGCACCGCAGACATTGCTGCCCCTGGGGTGGCAGCAATGGACAGCATATTCTTTGGAAGCTAGATTTCCTGCCCCTCTGGATCCTGCCACCTGAGGCAGTCACTTCAGCTTGCTTCATGGGTGGGCTGGTCCTGGCCTGGGTACAAGTACAGCACAAGCAATGGGGCTTCTGTAAACTGAAAATAAGGCCTAGTGATGGTTCAAAATTAATGGTGAATTTAAAGATACTTCATATGCAGATATAATATTATTATTATCCTTATTAGTTTTTTTTTGCCCCAATCAATCCCATATAGCAATCCCTAGTACAGTGGTACCTCAGGTTACATACGCTTCAGGTTACACACTCCGCTAACCCAGAAATAGTGCTTCAGGTTAAGAACTTTGCTTCAGGATAAGAACAGAAATCGGGCTCCGGTGGCGCGGCAGCAGCGGGAGGCCCCATTAGCTAAAGTGGTGCTTCAGGTTAAGAACAGACCTCTGGAACGAATTAAGTGCTTAACCTGAGGTACCACTGTAAACCACTGTTTTACATCTATACCAAACTTCCATGGAATAAGTTCCCTTATTCCTGAAAATAGTTGACAAGTTTCCTGCCACAACATGGCCTACCTTCAAGGGCGCATGCCTTCCATTTACTGTCATTGTCATAGTTCGCAGTCGTGGCACACCACAGTGTGTTATCTCCAGATCCATCCATGGTGCAGGCAGAGTAGGATTTCCCTTTGAAAATGAAGGGGAAGGTGCAAGGGCGTGGTTCTGAGGAAGAAATAAAAGGTTTGGGAATTGAAAAACTACATTAAGAGGGATTAGTGGGAAATGCACGATAAGAAGAAAGCTGACTCAAGGTCCATATGCAATAGTTTTGCTGTTTCCAGACTCATGAGCACATGAGCCAGCTTTGAAGGCAGAAGATGAAACTCTAGATGCATCCGAAAGTATTACCAAAATCATATCTTGAATGTACATCCTACACACCCCTGATTTTTCTCCATAAATGTACACCATGTAGGCTCCCACCAATGTGAATATTTAATTCTGAATAAAATTGCCAAAGAGGAGAAGATGTTTCCAGTCCATCACACAAAACAAACCTTGTCTCTCTTCTGACCCACCCACCTCCTCTTATATGTTCCCCAATGATAAAATAAGGGTATCTGACTTTTCCCTCTGGATTTCATCCCCTACCTGAAGGATCGCAGTAAGTCCATTTGGGGTTTGTATCGTAATTGCTGGTGAGGGAGCACCAGAGCTTTCCAGTAGATGCCCCACTTGTTGTGCAAAATGAGTAGGATTTGCCTTTGTAGATGAAAGGAAAGACGCACGGCCCATGAGAATTGGCAGAAAGTCCTGCAGAAAGGTAGAGACAGAGGGATGGTCATCTCATACAACAGGGGTTCCCTAACCCTGTCATTAATGTCCTATTTCCTATCCATTTTCTCTGTCCTACAACACATTCAAAAGTACCAAACTAGAGACTAGATATTGAAAGCAGACTTGTAAATCAGCACTAATTCCTCTAGAAAGGTTCAGTAATTCTATGCCACCCCCCTTTTTGTGGGCACAGTGAATTTGCTACATTTCTCGAGTTATTTTGCTCTACTCACATGATTCTCTGGTATTCATTGTGATCAAGAATATTTGCTTTAAAATATGAAACAGTGAAAAAAGGGCTCTGATGACTAATACATATTGATTGGTGGTAGAATTTTATTTTTATTTTATTTTCTGGTGTTGGTTTGAACCATGTTCACCTATTTTGAAAGATTGTATTTGTTTTGAACATTTTGTAATGCCAATCCACCTTCTCAACTTTTATTTTAAAAATCAATAAATATTAATTTTTAAGAATGATATTTGGGTTGATCTATGGGAGAGAGGGAGGATTATGTCTTTGTGACATGAGTCACAAGACGTAGGATGGATCTACACACAGGAAAAAAACACTATAAATAAGTAATAAATCAAATCATTATAACAAAAGAAAAAAACATTATTTAAAATCGGATAGAAAAGTTTTGTGCTCTACAGTGCCACCTGGTGTTGCATGTTTTTACACATTTAAAACGTGGGGTTTTGGCTAATGTAGCTGAGTCCTATAATATTCCTTTTTCTATAACTTCTATTGTACCACTGTTACAACACTATAACTGAGTCAGACGCTAGATCCATCTAGCTTGGTGTTGTCTACTCTGACTGGCAAGGACTCTCTTCCAGCCCTACCTGGAGATTCTGGTGAATGAAATTTTGATGTTTTGCATGCAAAGCAAGTGCTCCCAGCGTGGGGCCTTCCAGGTGTTTCACATCAGTGTGTCCCCAACAAATATGGCTACTGGTCAGTGGTGATGGGAACTGCAGTTTAAAATGTCTGGAGGGCACCAGATTGGGGAATACTGAACTTCCCGCTCACTCTCCTTGGCCTACAAAGTGCCTTGACTAATTATTCATCCAGCCAACCACTCCTGTTATTCCAGGCCCCGGCAGTATGCTCACTGGTATCAGCACAGTAGCTCCATTTCTTGTCCTTGTCATAGCTCCCTGTTGTCGCACACCAGAAGTTCCCTTTCTGCGAATCTAGATTGGTGCAGGTATAGAAGGTTTGGTTCTTGTACGCAAAGGGGAAGACACAGGCTCGTCCACCATCATTACCTCCATACTCTAGACCCAAACAGAGTGAGATTATATGCATTGAAACATACTAGTGATGATCACAAAATACAAAAAAAACCAAAACAAAATGGTGAACAAGTCACATATATTCAGGTAGGTAGCCGTGTTGGTCTGACACAGTCGAAATCTATAAAAAAATAAAAAAAATTGTCCAGTGGCATCTTACGAGACCAACTAAGTTTGTTCTTGGTATAAGCTTTTGTGTGCATGCACACTTCTTCAGATACCATATAGATACCATAAGTCACATATATATAAACCTTGCCAGGTATCTCCTTTGCAAAGACTTAGAAAGATAGCTACAAACCAAGGACAAAAGAATTGGGCAGGAGCCTGTGAGAGCAGGTTGCAATTACTCAACTGACAATAATGTTAAAGAAACAAGAAAGTATAAAGAAAGATTAAGTGCATGAATTCAGTTATACTAGATATAAAACAAGACATGAAGATAGCTGGCATTTATGCCAATGTAATATCAGTAATGTTAGAAAAGATGACATGTGATTTTTATGGTCTATGCAATCTTTATCAATTATTAGTAGGAAATATTTGTACAAAAGTGCCTCTTAGGTACATAGTTTGAACCATATTTTCAAATTAACATACTGGTGATGTGTTTCATTTCTTCAGAGCTCTTGTTGCTTGAAGCAACTTTTCACTGATCCTTGGAAGGAAATTTGTAATAGTTTGGGTTTAAAGAAGATCTATAAAAGCTGCTGATGGGAGTCCCAAACCTGTTTAAGAGCACAGAAAGAGTTCAGCTGCATCAGACCAAAGGCCCATCTAATCCAACATTTTGTTTCCACAATGTCCAATCAGATGCCTATGGAAAGTTCATGAGGAGGATCTGTCTACTTTATTTCAGTAAAATGGCTATGCATGTGTGTGACATAGGAAACCAGAAATAGAAGAAAATACCCAGGACAGACTTTGCTCGTGTGCTCAAGACATCGATTCCATAGATCATATTTTGTTACATTGTGCGAAGTATGAGCAGGCCAGGGCTGAACTGATACTACCCTTGCTGGTGCCTTTCCCGGGAAAGTCAGAGGCTCACTATGTCAGGTTCCTACTGGAAGACTGGACAAAAGCTAGAACGTTGGCAGTGGCAAAGTTTTTATCGGTGGTTGCAAGAACAAACGAGCCCTATATTCCAAACAAAGTGCTTGATTAACCTGGAGGTAGACTGTATGAACTCTGTATTAATTTGTAATGTTTTGTTGGGTCTCTGGACCGTAATAAAGATTGATGATGATGAGAAAATACAGGTCACCTTTAGGGGAACATGCTTTCCATTGTAACATGTTTTTTGTGTCATAGTCAGTCGATGTGGCACACCACAGCTCATGGTGGTCATCCTTGGTGCAAGAGGAATAGGGTTTATTCTTGTAAATAAATGGGAAGACACAGGGATGATCAACTGAAATGGAAACAGGGGACAAAGGTGTAAGAATAAGAACTACAATTCATTAAATGGAAACAGTGTAGTTTTCACCCATGCATGTGCAACAGCTGTCTCGATTTCCACTTACTCAGCATTCAGTTTTCTAGTCATATTTGAAGCTGGTTTAAGAAAATCACACACCAAACAGCAGTATTTGTCAAGAAACTACAGCATCAATATGGATAGTGGCTAATATCATGTGAATGTGGCTTCAAAAACTAGCAGCGAGCAAGCAGTGGATGCAGAGCAAGCCACTGCTTCTCATGCTGTCTCCTGTGATGGGCTGGCATTCCCCCCTCCCCAGTGTGCCGCAGACTGGTACCATATGTAGCCGCTGGAGCATCCCACCCAACCTGGGCTGTGGTAGAGACACTGGGGACCAACAGCCATGCTTTCTCAGTCTATGTCTGAGTGCTTATTTGTTTGTTTATTTTGCCCAGCAGTTTCCCAGGAAAACCCAATCTTTACCACTGAATCGGATGAAATGGCAATTTGGGTTTTCCATGGATTGCCATTTGCTCCAATTCAGTGGTAAAGAGTGGGTTTTCAGGGGTGCCAGGTCCAAAAATAAGCAGTCAGATGTGGACCTGAAAATCCCAGACCTGTGCCTAGAAATGTGGAGCAAAGGTAAGTATGGGTGAGCCTATTATTATTATTATTATTATTATTATTATTATACCTCACCCATCTTGCTGAGTTTCCCCAGCAACTCTGGGTGGCTCACATCACATACTAAAAAATCAAACATTAAAAACTTCCCTAAAGTTTTTCAGCACCTTCAGATGTTTAAAGTGCCTTCAAATGCCTTCTAAAAGCAGCAGAAAACCATGCCCCATGCTGTAAGAGATCCTTTGAAACCATGCTGTAAGAGATCCTTTGAAAGCAGAGATCAATGATCCACTAGCCTCGTTAAGATGAATCAGAAACAATTCATGGAATATTTCTTACCCGTAGCATCAGTCAACAATGGTAAGAGACCACAGGTGAACAAGAGGAATGCCATGACGGAGCCCATCTCTTCTCTAAGGGACTCTGACAGGCATGAGGCGGGTATTCTTTTTATAAGCCCCACTTAGACCTTTCCTTCCTTCAGCTACAGTTGTCTGATGTTTGCACAATCACAAGAAATGGCAGATGTTTGTATTTCCCAACAGCAGCTCAGTGTGCCTGATCATTTTTTGTTTCCTCTTTGTACACAGTGATAAGAACAAAGGGAAGTGGGTTTTATCTTGCAATGAGTAAATAAGGAGGCTTCCTTAGAAAAGGATGGCCTTTACGCTGACAAGTATGGTGAGGAAATAATTACACTGTTAATTATTTAAATAATATTTGTAAATTACATAAATTATATAGCAGACAAATAAGACAAATAGTTTCATGTTTGGCAAAAACTAAACTACAACAGATGTGAACAAGATGACCTTGACAGGTCAGAATAGAAATTGCTTGTTCTTACATCCCTAAGCAGGGGTAGGGAAGCTCAGGCCTGGCCTCCAGGGACTCAGCTATACAGCTGCAAATTAAATGTTTTAAGTGGGTTTTAAGTGTAATATACAATGTGACACTAGAGGGCAATGATGAGCCTTATGGAAAATTCAATGTATTTTTTAAAAATGCTTTTAAAAAAGCATTTTCAGAACGGTTTTTATATGTGTCTAGATTCCACCCAGGTCTCTCTCTCTGGCCCTCAAGATGTTCCTTAAGTCATACACCCTGCCGAGGCTTGAACACTCCTTGAGTCTTTTGGCCTGGGCTGGATCGACATTGATCTGTAAAAATGTTATTAAATATGACGTTATATCATTCTCAATGCAATTTTCTGTTGTTGAAGGCTCACTGCTCTACAGTGCCTTCTGGTGTCACATTTTATTAACACATTTTTAACATTATAAACAATCAGTGTAGATCTGTCACTGGCTGGAATGTGTCATTGAACTCTGATAATACCTCTTGCTTGCCAGAGTGGAGGAAAGAAAGGGGTGCTTGAATATTTTAGAACCTAGTCTACTCTATAAAAGTAAACATTACAATAATTGCTGTTTGTGCTTTTGCCTCTGGCCCTGCCCACCAAGGGCATGTAGCCCCCAAAGTTTACCCAGAAGGGAATGTGGCCCTTGCATTACAAACTGTCCCCCATCTCTGTGATACGGAGCTGATTTAGTGAAGACTGGGAGAAGATTCTGATTATAAGAGATGGTGAAGCTAGCTTATCATACTGAGTTTGCACAACCTCTAACTTCTTCTTTCAAGTCTTTAGATAGCAATCCACACATGGCATGTTCTGCCATGTAAGGCTCATAGCTTGGCCTGGTGCAATGATGTTCTGTATCTGTCGAAGCACGAGTCATTTCTCTTGATAATTTAACAGCAACAGAGCAGTCTCTAAGTTGTTCTATGTTTGTGTTGTGTAAAATTGGTTATCCAAATTTTACAGCACTCACATAATATACAGCCTCTCCAAGTGTCCCTATTTTCCAGGGACAGTCCCAAATTTACAGAAACCGTCCTGGTTTCTGGTTTGATCCCAGAATATCCCTATTTTCCTTAGGACAGCCCTATTTTCATCAAAAAAAATGTTGAAGGATATGGTAGGACATCCCAATTTTCATTGGAGAAATGTTGGGAGGGTAGAGTTATGCAACCACCAGGCCAAGAAGATAGGTACCGTAACTACAGTGGTACCTCGGGTCGCAGACAGTTCAGGTTACAGACGCTTCAGGTTACAGACTCCACTAACCCAGAAATATTACCTCGGGTTAAGAACTTTGCTTCAGGATGAGAACAGAAATCGTGCAGCAGCAGCGCAGCAGCAGCAGGAGGCCCCATTAGCTAAAGTGGTACCTCAGGTTAAGAACAGTTTCAGGTTAAGAAGGGACCTCCGGAACAAATTAAAGTCAAAACCTGAGGTACCACTGTAGTCATTGCTGGGCTGTTTTAGTTTCATGTTAGGATCCTTCATCAGCAGTAAACCAGATGTATGATGTACATTTAATTCATGCTGTCACTACTGGATATCCAAACTTCTATTTTTTCCAGTCTTAAATTCAGTTTTAACCATTTTGGCAACCACTTGCATTAAAAAAAAAAAATCACAATCAATATTTATCAATACAGTGGTACCTCGGGTTACATACGCTTCAGGTTACATACGCTTCAGGTTACACACTTCGCTAACCCAGAAATAGTGCTTCAGGTTAAGAACTTTGCTTCAGCATAAGAACAGAAATTGTGCTCCCGGCACGGCAGCAGTGGGAGGCCCCATTAGCTAAAGTGGTGCTTCAGGTTAAGAACAGTTTCAGGTTAAGAACGGACCTCCAGAACGAATTAAGTACTTAACCTGAGGTACCACTGTACATAGAGGGAATAATTCTCGATATCAGGTCAGATGTAATCCTTTTCTAAGGAAGCCTCCTTATTTACTCATTGCAAGATAAGACCCACTTCCCTTTGTTCTTAGTATTGTGTACAAAGAGGAAACAAAAAATGATCAGGCACACTGAGCTGCTGTTGGGAAATACAAACATCTGCCATTTCTTGTGATTGTGCAAACATCAGACAACTGTAGCTGAAGGAAGGAAAGGTCTAAGGGGGGCTTATAAAAAGAATACCCGCCTCATGCCTGTCAGAGTCCCTTAGAGAAGAGATGGGCTCCGTCATGGCATTCCTCTTGTTCACCTGTGGTCTCTTACCATTGTGGTCTGAAGCTACGGATAAGAAATATTCCATGAATTGTTTCTGATTCATCTTAATGAAGCTAGTGGATCATTGATTTCTGCTTTCAAAGGATCTCTTACAGCTAGCCATCACTTGCATAAACTTCTGTTTAGCTATGGTCCTGTCTTAGTGGGGAAAAGATGACTTACAGTCTGTCCACCCATCAGTAAGCCCCACTGAGTTAATGGGCTTACCAGTGCTACTTTTTCTAGAAAAAGAGGTGCTGGAACTCAACATGAACAGTTCCCTTTTTCTGTTATAATAGCAATGGCATCTACCTGAGAGGTGCTGGAACTGAGTTCTGGAGAGTTCCGGCTGAAAAAACAACCCTGGGCCTTACTCCCCGGTAAGTGTGCACAGGATCGCAGCCTTCATAGAGGTTCCATAGCCCTTAAACTAAACCTCAGGCATGTATAACTAAGGGCAGACTGAAATTCCTTCCACTTAAAAACAACCACATCCTTCCCTTGCCATCCTGTTGGGTAGCAGAGAAGTTGGTAGCAGCCTACTTTAAAGTGAAACTAATGTGAGATTCAGGGGTATGATCGTCATTACAGAGTTTTAAGTTCTCCACAGCAATTCACTAGAGTTTCCAGGAGGGAGTTTTTTTATTTTTATTTTTTTTAAAGGATTTCAAAACCTCAGCATTCTTTTTTATTTACCAATGCAAATAACTTACAAGAAATGAGAGCAGACAAACAGAGCATTTGTCCCACTGTTGGTTTAAAGAGAAGTTGCACTCATGGTCTCATTTTGACCACTCGTTCAGGTCAATGCCATGGCCAAAGGTTAGGAAGCAGAATGCTTGGCAAGGGGGTAGTGAGCAAGAGAAATCCAATCAGATTTAACAGATCTGCCTGCCCAGAGCATCTGTTTGCTGCATTTGGGGGATATTTGGAAATAATGTTCGCTATTCTCACGCGGGTGTTCATCACCTTAATAACTCCAGGATCATGACAGATGAATCCTACTAGCACACTCAGTTAGGACCTAATCAGGACTCAGTCACAGGATTTGTCTTTGGTGCCAGGAATCTACCCTGGAATGTGCAAAGAAATGGCACAGATGTCCTTGAGCATGAAAAGGGATGTGAACAGCCACGCATATACACACATATGGGCCTGAGATAAGTCTTTGAGAACAGAAAGGGGTAGTTTTTAAACAGCTTTAGAATCAGCACTTTATTTTATTTTCTCCCAAATTAATCACCAAGGCTACAAGGGGATACACAGATTCCATGTTTGCTGCTTCTGCATATCAGTTATTTATTTATTTATTTATTTATTCATTCATTCATTCATTCATTCATTCATGCAAACTTCGCTCATTTCCCATGCAAGCTGTACAGTGCATGGAATCATTAGAACCAAGGTTATGCTGTGGAAGTATGAGAGCAGTGTAGCAAACCTGATGTAGCCACCTGCTCAGTACTTGATAGAAGATTACCTGAAAATCATGACTGCCTTGAGTTCTGTGGAAGGAAGGTAGAATTAGGGATTAGGGTGGTGGGGTCAATTCACTTTGTTTTTAAAAGTGATTCTACCTAGTTCACATATTCTGAAATAACGCATCAACTGAAACACAACTATTCTTAAAAATGGGCACTTCTCTGAATTCTGCAAAAGCAGTTCTTCAGCAAAGTAATGTTTCCAAAAAGGCATCTACTAAGTTAAATGTGCATAAGCATGCATATATTAATGAAAATAGCACAAACAAATGCATTTTATTAAGGAGAATATCAAAACTAGGGGGGGGAAGCTTTGTGAAAAATGTGTATGTTATGCAAAACTGCAGACAAAAATGTGCATTAGGAGAAATTTGCACAAAAATGCTGGTTTCCCCCCCCCCCTTACTGCAAACTGCTGTGGATATGTAGAGAACTGAGCTTAAGACTGGAAAAAGGAGAAACTGAAATTGATGTTTTCACCAACCATTAGGTGGGATGTAGATAAATGGTCATTTTTTATTTTTTAAAAGAATTGTTCATCTATACACACCGCAAAAAGTCAGACACTAAGAAATAAGAGTTTGATCTCTGCATGAGCTTGGGTACCAGGCTCAGTGTTCAGGTGCTTGTAGCCACTTTGTGCTGTCCCCTCCCCCCTTCAAACAAAGTTTCCAGTTCAGTTCCAACTTCCAAACTGGGTTCTAACATTTGGTGGAGAATGCAGTTATTGATCACACTACCTTGCATACTCTGGGAGCAGAAAAAAATCTCTTTTCCCTCTCTTTAATTGCATCCCCATTAAGGGATTCAACACGTAAAGGTTCCAATCCCCCAAACATTTGCTGGAGAATGAGAAACAGTAAGCAGAACCAGCTTTCTGCAAACAGAGGAAGAGACATTGTGAGCATGCACACTGGAGCTGATGAGGGTAGACTAGGAGTCTGCAGGCATATTGTGGGAACTAAAGTGAGACTAGATCAGGAGTAGCCTGTTGTTGTTGTTGTTGACAACAACTCCCATTTTCCCTGACCATCAAGCACACTGGCTCTAGCTGATGAGAACTGTAGACCAACAATATCCGGATGGCACCATGTTGGCTACCCATAGAAAAATACTGACAGGAATGAAGCTCCCAGTGTCAGAGTTTTTCCACTTCATTCATAGCTTCTCTGTCTTGGTGGTTCACAGTTTACAAAGCTACTCTATTGTGCATTTGCAAGGATAGACTTTATTAAGTATTCAGGTGAAATAAACCACTTAGCATTACAGGAGGACGCATTTACAATAACCCAGGTCAATCATCCACCCACAATCATCTGAAAGTTGCACATTTCTTGTGCACATCTGTAACATCACTCACACATCATCTTGTCATCAAAATGTAAACTATGCAATGGTACACAGAGGTCAATTATATAGGTGCCCAGAACAGAGCAGCCTCATCAGTTCTTGATAATAGTGTTCATTTCATGCTAGCTAGATTACACAGTACACCCTCCCTTTATATAGCAAAATTTAAATATTTCAGATTTGATCCCAAATGAACCCTTTTCCTTCAAACAGTTTATTCCAATTAGCAGAGGCTAGAGAATAGCAGCTATAGGGGAGGAGATGCTGTAGGCAGTACTCCCTTCTTTTTTCTCCCTTGTCTATTCACACCACTCCAGCTTCTAACATTTCACCAGGCCTACCCTATTTATACTCTTCTGCCCAACCATAATAATCTTAGATGATTAATGATAACCCAGATGCGAACCCATATGTTCATTGTTAAGGGAGTGAAATCATGGCCGTACAGAAAATGCACAATTATATTACTGCTTGATTTAAATTACTAATTTTAATTAAAATGCATTTATATGACTTAGGCTACCATGTGTATAATCCAAAAGACTACAGCTGTCAGACAAGAGAAAAATAAATTTTGTTTTTCAGCAACTGAGCACAGAGCTGCTCATCATGTGAGTACAGGACGGGGGAGGAGTTTGTGTATCAGTGAGGAAATCTAGGATGAAAGTGACGACAGTGTTAGATATTCTGGTGGTGCTTCTGAACTGCTGTTCATTGGTGATGAAGGTAAAACATCTTCAGAGACTGGGTCCCTAGCAGAATCCTAGGCAAGGGATGAAGAGCAGCTGCAGTGTGTCAGAGACTTTATCCATAGTTGTAGCATAGGTGGAAACAGGATAGGCCCAGATGAAAACTAGCCACTTTCCACTAGTGAAACAGTGTAGTGGGAATCACAGACGTCCAAGATATTGGTTGATTGGTTTTGGTAATCTGGTGGGAAAAGATACATGCTGGTTAGTTACCAACAACACCTAATGTCAGAGCCAATAGGCATGTAGCAAGTCCAATAAAGCTAGAAGGCACAGGGTTCATGAGTATACTGATTTCATGAATACTCCAAAGGGCAGCATTCTCAGGCATAAGGAGCCCTGGGGCATGTCGTTTCCAGAGTACCCAGTGTGTGCATTAAGTATTCGGGCAACATAGGAAACTGCATTTCACAGAATTATTGGTGCCTGGGGTGTTGCTACTTTAGCCTTGAAGGAGCCAAGGAGAAAAGGTCTTACAGAAAGGTTTCCAGAACTGTCACTTGGTAACCAGAAAAAGAAGAGGGTGCAAGTCAGTGTGTCTTGATGCCATGGGGAGGCTGGATGTAGAGGAGTGGTGGGAGGCACTAGCTGGGGAACCCCCAAGAGAAGAAGGTTTGGAGCCAGGGGAGTGGTGGTGGGATGACGATGAGTGGTCAGAGGGAGAAAAGGGAGAAGAATGGGAGGAGGAGATGTTGGAAGCTGAAGAGGTGACAGGATTTATTGAGCAGAAAGAGTCTGTAGCAGACATCAGGCCAGAAGCAGAAGCTAGAGAGGAGCAGGTCAAAGAGGCAGAGATCAGGCAGGCTGCTTAAGAAGCCAAAGGGTCTCCCCTTCCTGCTGTGACCAGCTCTCCTTCCCCCTGGTCTCCCAGGGCAAAGGAGACACACACACATCAAGAAAGACTTAAACTGCTTGGGAAGGATCTGGGGGGGCGGGGAGGATTAGACAACTGTGGGAAGACGGGGACCTTCAGTTCTCACAACTGCCTCATTGGGGCAAGATCTACCAGGAAGAGTTGATGTGCTCACTAGACCTGGCCTCCTGAGCTGTTTGTTTCTTGGAATAAAGAGTTAAGTTCACTGATGCTGTGTATATTTATTGACCTGCTCCTGGCACTTGCCCCTGGCACTTGATGAGAGAGAATTCTGACTCTTTTGTGTGCTTATTTATGTGATTGGAAGCATGGCCAGGTCCAAATTTCAAAATTAGGAAAATAAACCAAGCTGTTATCTATATGTGGCTTGGGGAGGTAGGAATCACCTTGACTTGCTAAGCCTAATTCTAAGTGAAGGGAAAGGAAGTTTGCTCATCACCAGTTTTCCCCCAAATTAACTCTTGATCATTCATGTCTACTGAAGTGCTAAGCAGTATTGCATGTTAAAAGAGACAGGGCCCAAAGCAAGGGTGGAGAACCTCAGAACACTATCTATTTACCGTATTTTTTGCTCTATATTCTCACTTTTTCCCTCCTGAAAAGTAAGGGGAAATGTGTGTGTGTCTTATGGAGCGAATGCAGCCTGCACAGCTATCCCAGAAGCCAGAACAGCAAGAGGGATTGCTGCTTTCACTGCGCAGCGATCCCTCTTGCTGTTCTGGCTTCTGAGATTCAGAATTTTTTTTTTCTTGTTTTCCTCCTCCAAAAACTAGGTGCATCTTGTGGTCTGGTGTGTCTTATAGAGCGAAAAATACGGTAGCCCTCAGGACTCTCTCCAGGCCTCACACTCTTTGTGAGACACAGCCCTCACCAGCCCTGCTTTGCACCTTCCTTGGATGTTTTTGCTGGGCTCCAGTGTATCATCAGACTCTGATAATGCTTCTTGGTTGATGGGAAGGAGGATAGAGAAGGGTGTGAGAGTGTGAAGGAGCCAGCCTACTGTACAGAGGTAAAATTTGCATTTATTGCTGAACCCACAGCTGCTCCTGGCCCCGCCCACCACTGTCATGTAGACTATGGAATGTTGCCCAGAAGGGAATGTGCCCCTCAAGCTGAAAAATGTTCCCAGATTGAGAGACAAATAAAAATTACATGGAAACATGAAACACATTTACCTTACTGATAGTTGCCGGTCTCGCTTGTCTTTATGGCTGATAATCTTCTTGTTTTTTCCAATCTGTTGAACATAAGGTAAAGTTTTGTTGGGGGGGGGATTTAAGCTGTAAAAGGAAACCAGGACTTCAGGGGAACCTAAATATAGATACAAAACTGCACAGAATGGAAAACTGAAAGCTTTCTAATCTGTGACGCTTCCACTGTTGCTCTTGCTGCCCATGCCTACTATAAAGTACTTTATGAAGCACCAAGAAGGATTCATTCCTACCTGAAGGTTCGCAGTATTTCCACTGGCGTTCTGTATTATAGTTGCTGGTGAGAGAGCACCAGTACTTCCAGTTTACTGTCCCATCTGATGTACAGCTTCTGTAAGACTTGCCATTGTAGGTGAAAGGAAAGACACAGCGCTTCGTAGATTCTCCATCTTGTCCCGTGAGGGTTGGGAGTGGAATGTGAGAGAAAATCATGAGATGAGCACCTCTAGCAAAGGAATAAGGAGGCTAGGAAGCTATCTTAATAATACTTCTGATTATTTAAAAGTTAATTGCTCCCAAATAAGTGTGCATTGAATTGCAGCCTACAGCATATTACTTCAACACATTAGGATCAAAATCTGCTTGGCGGCATGGGCTTCCAAGTAAACATGCATAAGATCAGGCTGCATGTCTGAAACCAACTTTCTCCTACACCCCCACCTGGGCAGCTTTCTGCTAACCTGGTAATAAAACTTCCCCACTTCTCAAATTTGTGTCAGCACAGAAGCTCCATAGCTTTTGCTCATCGTAGTTTGGAGTAGTGGAACACCAGTATCCCCCATTCTTCTCGCCGTCGTCATCCTCATTGGTGCAGGCATCAAATGTCTGGTTGTTGAAGGTGAAAGGGAACCAGCAGGGCTGGCCATTGGAGTTCCCTCCATACTCTGCAGACAGGGGGGACACAAAAAATAACATGCCGTAGAGTTTTGTCGTGTTGTCAAAGAGAACTGTATGAACGATATGGGCAATGCCTCTGCATTCAAGGACTAGATAAAGACAGACACTTAATGAATTAGGCCAAGGCCCACCTCCTCCAACATCCTGTTTTCACAGTGGCCAGCAAGATGCCTATGGGAAGCCCATACAAGAAATGAGTGCCAACAGGAACCTCCCCACTTCCGATTCACAGCAGCTACTAAACACAGACATACTATACAGATATACAAGCTAGGTTCACGTTGTCCAGGCATAGGCAAACTTGGCCCTCCAGATGTTTTGGAACTACAACTCCCATCATCCCTAGCTAACAGGACCAGTGGTCAGGGATGATGGGAATTGTAGTCCCAAAATAGCTGGAGGGCCGTGTTTGCCTATGCCTGATCTTGCCTATACTACATAAATTCCCAGGTCGTACAGAACAACCTTATACCTCCCTGCTACTTCAAGATGAAAACCCAGATGTTACATACTCAGTTGCTAGATTCTGCACTGCCATGATGAATATTCATCAAAGGGTGGTTTGCACCACAAACTAGGCCCAAAATGAGCGCTCACAACTTACACTGTGGGCGCCCTTTGCAGGATCCTGTGGACCTACCGGCTGCTTGGGCTGGCCTGCCTCTCAGTGCTATTCTTTGGAGGTTCCCGCCAAACCTCAGTCATTTAGCACTGCTGGAGGTGGGGCCAGTCGCATAAATAGGAGGCAAAGCCGGCAGCAGCCAGGCAGTCAGCTCAGGACTCTACCTTGGAGGGAACATCCTTTCCAACTGCTGTCTTTGTCATAGTCTGGAGTTGTGGCACACCACAGCTGCCCATCAAAACTTCCTTCTTTGGTGCACGAGGAGTATGACTTGTTCCTAAACTTGAAGGGAAAGACGCAGGAGGCAGGTTCTGAAGAGAAACAGAGTGGAGAGGTGAGTCATTAACTGAAGCAACATAAAGAGGGGATTGGTGTGATATTCATATTCCGTTGCGTTTTGTGTGCATGCTAGCCAGCTGTAAGGGGAATTGGCCAAATTCTGCAGATAGATAGATAGATAGATAGATAGATAGATAGATAGATAGATGAAATGGATTGAATCCAGGTTATGTCAGTTGTACTCGGGTACCACTGAAATCCACTTAAGTCATGAATTTGTCTCATTGATTGCAGTAGGATTTTATTATAAAATGACACCTTAGATATAATGTGCATTCAGATGTGGGAATTATTGTATTCGTTTTCCTGTTTACAGTGTTGGCACTTCTGTCCCTTTCCCAACATTCCTTGTACACTGCATTACCTGTGGAGTTATGGAACGGTGTCTTCCTGAGGGATATTACTGCATGTTGCACTAGATTTCGTTCACATTGTGTCCCACAACACTGTGTGCCATCAGACGGGTCATCAGCCCTTAATCCTCATGTGTGCTTCTTTTCTCCCAAGGCCAGGAAAGAATTGGATTCAGAAATACAGCCCCAGATTTCATCACATGCGTGGCGGTAGTGCGTTAACATAAAAACCATGGGGAAAATTATAGCACATAACTCCCATGATTTTCCAGTTTAATTGGGTTGAATAAAGTACTTCCTGAATGCAGCCAATATTGTGAGGACCAACCCTACTTTTAACCTGGCCTGGGACTTCATAGTGAAGGACAGGTATGTAGTAGTAATAATAATAATAATAATAATAATAATGGCCAAGTGTTCAGCCCTTATTTGGGACAAGGAAGAGAAACATTTCTGGTCTGTCACCCTGAACAGCCTTTCCCACATACTTCCCTATTTTGCTTACTTGAGGGTTCACAGTATGCCCACGTTGGATTTTCATCGTAGTTGGTGACAAGAGAGCACCAGAGCTTCCCATCGAATCTCCCATCTGTTGTGCAAGCTTTGTACCACTTGCCTTGGAAGACGAAAGGGAACATGCAGGGCCCTGTAGCTAAATTTGCATCTAGTCCTGGAAGAAGTGGAGAAGAGAGAGAAGGAGGGGCTTCCTTAATAACCCACAATGCTTCTTTGTCCTGCTGAATGCGCTCAGCAATCAGATTCCTATGCCTGATTAAATCATGGAACAACTACCCACATCACCATCCCTCTAAAGTTTTAAAAATGCTATCCTATGCACAGTGCTATTTTTCTAGAAGAAGAGGTGCCAGAACTCACCATGTAAGCCTCCCATGTTCTCTTATAATGGCAATGGAGCCCACCTGAGAGGTGCCAGAACTGAGTTCCACCACATTCCGGCTGAAAAGAAGCCCTGACTATGCATATCTGCTCAGAGGTAAGTCCCTTTTAGGTCAATCAGACTATAAAACGAGGCTGGGGAACTTTAGGGCTGGGGACTGAATGCACCCCCAGGCCTTTCCCCAGGTCATACTCCCTCCCTAGTGTCACTGCTCACCAGCCCTGCTTTGACCCCTCCTTGAGTGTTTTGGGATAGCTAGAATGTGTCATTGAACTCTGATAACGCTTCTTGCATGACTGAATGAAGGACAGAGAGGGCTGTGTAAGTGTAAGGTAATATGGACATTCTTTGCTGTGCTCACTTTTCCTTCTGACTCCTCTCATCACTACCATGTGGCCCTGGGAACGTTACCTAGAAGGGAATGTGGCCCTCAGATGGAGGTGGAATCCTCAACTCTGGTACAGCAGAAGGAGAGAAAGAATTGCAGGGACTCTGCACCAGGGTGTAGCTATTGGCTCCATCACCCCCCACCATCGCATCCGCCGCCTGGAGTGCGACCGGCGCAGGACTGATCCACCCTGCAGGGGGGATGTGAGTGCCGCTGCATTGATGCACCGGGGGGTTCGTCACACACACCCCAGGGATGGCATCTGGGGCAAACTGCCCCCCCCTGCAATGCCGCTGCTCCGCACTGATAATCTGACTATTGACTGTTGCAAGCCACTCTGAAAGCTTTTACCACACACCCCTCTTCAATCAAGCATGGGGTAAAACATGTTTTAAGTAAATAAAGAAAAATACTCCCAAAACAGTGTGTATAGGATTGCCGCTCATGTTCCATTGATTCCAATGGGAGAAAATTAAACATATGCCTAACCCTCCAACGTTTCTCCAATGAAAATAGGGACACCCTAAGGAAAAGCGGGGCATTCCAGGAGCAGATCAAATAAAAAACCAGAATGGCTTCTGTAAATTTAGGACTTTCCCTGGAAAATAGTGACACTTGGAGGGTCTGTAATCCACCCACTAAAATAAATGGAAAAACTGCTTAATTTTGGGTGGCTCTGACACCCTTAATTTCACACTTCCATTTTGTAATGTGACTGCCTGGCCAATGCTGATGCTGATGTCAAAGTGAAAGCAAAGCACTGGAAAGGAGAGTTTACAAAGAGCATTTGCAGAGAATGGAATTTACAAGGGAATATTCTCAGTAATGTGTACCCCAAAAAAATCATTCATTGTGCTTAATCTACAACCAGCCATCTTCCAAGCCCTGTGACGCACCCAACCCTGGCTTCTAATCCAACAGGCCCCCAGTTTACATACTGGTGTCAGCACAGAAGCTCCACTTCTTGTCCTTATCATAGCTTCCTGTTGTAGCACACCAGTAGCGCCCTTTTATTTCGAATTTGTTAGTGCAGGTGTAGTAAGTATGGCCTTTGTAGCTGAAGGGGAAAACACATTCTGCTCCATTCGAGTTGCCTCCATATTCTAGGCAAAAGACAAAAGCAGAGTTTGTGCATGTTTATGCCAATAAATCATTAGTAACAGTTTTCTTGCTTCTTTCTTATATTATCCTTTTTTAAAATAATAGTCACACCCTATCGCAGGGGCAGGGAACTGGGTGCAGCCAACAGCCAGATTCTTACCTGCCCCAAACACTGTGGGCTATTTTGACAGGTAGGCAAGACAAATCAAACCAGGCAGACAAAGGCTTCAGGATCTGTATATGCTGCTGATCAACTGCCCACCACCAAACCCCATTTCCTTTGCCTGCTGGGATTGAAATCCAACCACTCAGGCAAAGACACATAGTGCCTATATAGACACTGCCTCTGGGGGTTGTCACAGATACGTATCATTAACGAGAATTAAACCTATTTACTTCCTGAATGGGGAGGTCAGAGGGTTACTATATGTTACACAAAAGTATAAATGTGTCATTGCCCATTTACTGGGGGAGGCACATTTGAGTAGAGTGACTGAGAGCAGAAAAGCAGTGATAGAGTATGTTGACCCCTATCTCCATATTGCCTAGACACACACACACGTTCAAACATGTTTGCATGGGCCGATATGCAGTATCAACACTGCAAGAGGGGAAAACAGCTAATGGTGAGTAATTTGGAGTAGGAAGATGGTTAATCACTCCCTGCAAAGCTGCTCTTCTTAACAATAGGATGAGATTGAGACTGTAATGAACTTTGTTAATCTTTTTGGTCACCTCCAGAGCAAAATATCTTGCAGGAGGGATTCATGTCCACATCAGGAATTCAGGTTTGCACAGTTGAAGTAGCTTAAAGCCACTTTAAAATACATACATACATACTTTTACAAGTAGTAAAGTGGCAGAGAAATGCCCTGAACAGTCTGGGATAAACAAATGTCTAATGGTAAGACATATACAGTGGTACCTCAGGTTAAGTACTTAATTCGTTCCGGAGGTCCGTACTTACCCTGAAACTGTTCTTAACCTGAAGCACCACTTTAGCTAATGGGGCCTCCTGCTGCCACCGCACCGCCGGAGCACGATTTCTGTTCTCATCCTGAAGCAAAGTTCTTAACCTGAAGCACTATTTCTGGGTTAGCAGAGTCTGTAACCTGAAGCGTATGTAACCCGAGGTACCACTGTAAATGTTGTGCAAACAAATCAGGATGAATGCTTGCTGTTGTATAACCTCCCCACAAACAGATCAGAACAAATGTTCCATCAGAGTAATATTTACAAGAGGGCAAATGGGCAACTGCCCAAAGGAGCTAATTTGAAGAGGGGGCAATGAGCATTACTGGGCATTGTGAGGATTAGAACTCCCTTTAGGATGGTACAAAAGGACTTTTTGCAAGCTCAGAAAATGGAATAACATCTTTAAGAGGAGGAGGGAGAGGTGGTGGTAGAGTAAGGGGAATCCCTGTCCCACTGGCCTGCTGGTGATGCTTGCTAGCCATAGGATTGCCACCCCCATTGGATTCCACTGCCTGAGGTTGCTGCTTCCGTCTACCTCATGAGCAGGCCAGCCCTGCTAGGACCTTTTTGGATCGATTTCAACTCATAGAACACTTCATTGTGTAAATAAACATAGTCTGCAGGACGACATATTAACACGCAAATGAATGTTACCAGAAGGACTGTATGCCTCTCACCTCTAAGAGCACATGGCTTCCATCTACGATCCTTGTCATGGTTTTCAGTTGTGGCACACCACAGCTGTTGGTCAGGGTTGCCATCAGTGGTGCACGAAGAGTAGTATCTGCCATTGAAAAGGAAGGGGAGAACACAGCCTGGAGGGGCTGGAAGGGAGACAAAGGAAAAGGAAAAATAAGGAAAGTTGCACCACACTCAGCAGAAACTGTGTGAAAAGAAAAATACAGAAGAGAAGGCCATCTATCATGGATGTTCCTTGGGTGTCCAGGAGCTAGGTTTGATTCAGTTCTCATTTAAAGGCAAATCTACCAAATTTGCACTTTTCAAAACAATGTGCCTTCAAAATTCTCACGTCTCCAAATTTTGCAGTGGAATTCTCTAACTGAATAATGTGTACAAAAATGCATGGTGCACTATGGACCCTTTTAGGGCCTGGCATGCACACTGCAGGGGAGCATTCAACAGCAGCATACTTTACTAATTTGGTTAATTTGGTTAAACTACTTGTTATATATAACCTTTCTTCCACTTGTGTCTCATACGTTTCATTTGGGTGTGGGAGCAAAAAAAAAAGCACCCCAGTGGCAAAAAAAATCAATCAACTTTGCCAGAATTTATTTTGACCCAAGTGCTTCTGTTTTGCTTTGCTTTGGTTTCAGTATTAAAAAAGGTCAGTGATGAAATGCCTAAAATCTAGGAACATTGTTTGCTACTGTGCAGGTTTCAATAAATAAGGAGAACCCCCTTTTCTTGGAAGAAGGAAATATCACTTTTATTTAATATGGGGCTCCTTTGTAAAATACTGCGTGGAACATGATAACCTGAATTACAGAGAGCTTTATTTGATGTAATGGATCAAATTAATATGTGGAATTGGGGGGGAACGGAGACATGGTGTCTTATTTGGATGGCAAATTACTTATTTCCTCAGCATGCCCGATTATGATAACATTACTAGTTATGTAATTACCGGTAATCTGTCATTTTTCAATATGTCAATTTGTGTGTTTTAATATTCAATGCAAAAATAAAAGATTAACTATTAAAGCTAAAATCAACTGCAAGGGATTTGTTGAAAGTAGGACTCCATGATATTAAATAAAAGAATTCCTTCCAGTAGCACCTTAGAGACCAACTAAGTTTGTTATTGCTATGAGCTTTCATGTGCATGCACACTTCTTCAGATCTGTAACTAGATCCATGATATTAGGCACTTTTGATGTACACTTTTTGGCGCCAGCTTTTTTAAAAAAAATGCTTAAGCAAGTCTGCCCATACAGGTAATCCCATTTGATATGATGTAATATAGACCATATTTTTCTGTGTATAAGACTAAACATTTTCCTACATTCTTGAAGTTTAAAAGAAGGTGTTGTCTTATACATGGATAGTGCATAGTGCATTTTCTTAATTTTGAGTCCCCAAAAATAGGTGGCGTCTTATACACAGGGGCATGTTATACACAGAAAACTACGGTAATATGTGTTTCATAATGCATATTTTTTAAAACTCTTGGCTTTATGGGGGGAATAGGGTGGCTTATTTTCAGCATTTATTTTATCAATAATATTAATGCATATTTTATGTAAACCACTTAGAGGCTTTCATGATTAAGTGGTATAAATCTCATTAAATAAATAAGAACGTAAAATGACACACACACCAACCCAGCAGAAAGGGGCCAGAGAATTGACAGGTGGAATGGTTCTTACCTTCAGATGCCATAAGTAGTGGCAGAAGAGCCCAGGTGCATGTGAGGAAAGCTATGACAGGAGCCATCTCTACTCTCAGTCAGGGAATCTGACAGGCGTGAAGAAACCACATCATGCTCATTCTTTATATAGGCCCTGCCCGGCCACATCTTCCTCCCACAACTACAACAGAAGGAGATGTTCAAAACCCTGCTATGTTAAACCTGACCTTTTCAAACAGCATTAGACCGCTCCCATTTTTGCTTCACTTCTGCATGAGCTGATACAGTACAGGACAAAGCTTTTGCTTGGGATTGCCAAATGGCTAAAGGGAAGAAAATTGCCATTGCCTGCTCCTATCTCTTTAACAGAGGCTACACAGACTGAAACTAAGAAGTGAAGTTTTCATCCCTGAGAGCTAAACACAATGACCTGGAAATTGCTGCTGATCTAGCCAGCATATCGGTTACATTTCACATACTTAGACCAACGGTGATACATGTCCAACAACATAGTCCTTTAAATAAGTTGGGTGCTTGGAAACTCTGCCAGACCACCGGGGACTGGTAGCCAAGTCTGGGGGGCCACCCAATTCTTGCTGAGGCTGTGGTGCGACCCTAGGTGGCATTGAAACCAAGTCCCCTGGATCCGCTGCTGTGGGTGGAGCCTCCGCAAGTGGAGTGGTCTGAGTCTGTGGTAAGTCTGGCAGACCCTCTGAAGTGGCTTGGTTCGGCTCCACGCTGGCAGTTTGCGAGAGAGGTGGAGCCTCACCATCTGTAAGTGTCTCTTCCGGAGCCACGAGCGCAGTTGGGGGCACCACGGTAGTGTCCAAGTCCCCAACCCTGCGCCTAAGCTGGTCTATGTGCAGGCACCACAAGCGTCCGTCTTCGAGTGCCACCTGGTACGAGCGAGGTCCAGTGACTCCCACTACTGTGGCTGGCACCCAAGGAATGTCCCCCACATAGTTCCGGGCAAAGACCTGGTTTCCTGGAACAAATGACCGTGGCGCATTGGCGCAGCCTGGGGGTTCGGCCATGGCAAAGTCCGGGTGCAGGCGGTAGAGCGGGGACCTGAGGCGGCGGCCCATAAGCAGTTCGGCAGGACTCCGCCCTGTGGCCGCAGGAGGGGTGATGTGTTGCACGAACAAGTATTCGGTGACCCGCTCATGCCAGTCTCCCCGGTCCAGGCGCGCCAGTGCATGTTTTGCCGAGTGCACCATTCTCTCCGCTTGCCCATTGCTGGATGGATGAAATGGTGCCGTTAGGGCATGGCGGATGCCCAGTCCCAAAAGATACCGCTCAAAAGTGCCTGACGTGAACTGCGGTCCATTGTCGGAGACAAGGACATCAGGACACCCATGCGTCGCAAAGAGGCCTCGCAGCACCCGGATGACGGCCTCGGTAGTGGTGGAGGGCATCAGGGCCACCTCCAGCCATTTGAAATAGGCGTCCACCACTACCATAAAGGTCCGGCTGTGAAAGGGGCCGGCCAGATCGATGTGCACCCTCGACCAGGGTGTCTTGGGCGTCTCCCAGGTGTGTCCCTTAGCTGCCGGTGGTGCAGGCCTTGATTCTTGGCACGCTTGACAGGCGGACACCCAGGCAGTGATGGCATCGTCCATGTTAGGCCACCAGACGTAACACCGAGCCAACGCCTTCATTTTGACGATTCCTGGGTGGCCAACGTGCAGAGCCTCCAGGACACATTGACGGAGTCTTTGGGGAATCACGACGCGGTCTCCCCACAGCAGACAGCCGCGATGAGCCAAGAGTTCATGTTGTCTGGTTGCGAACGGTTGGAACTCCGATGCAAAAGGCCCTTGTGGCCACCCCCTCCACACCCAGTTGAGCACACGGCTGATGGTGCAATCCTGGGCAGATGCGGAGGCCACAGTGGCAGCCGATACAGGCGCTGCCGAAAGATCCTCAATCAGGAGGAGCGATGAAGCAGGAGCCGGGTCTTCCACAAACGCTGGAAGAGGGCAACGGCTGAGGGCGTCGGCATGGCCCATCGATTTCCCCGGGCGATGGACAAGCCGGTAGTGGTAGGCAGCCAGGAAAACAGTCCATCGCAGCATGCATGGCGAGAGGACCGGTGGAGTTGGACGATCACCGACGAGGAGGCCCAGGAGCGGCTTGTGGTCAGTGATGAGGTCAAAAGTCCTGCCGTAGAGGTATTCATGGAACCTCTTCACTCTTGCTTCGCCTTCCCTCCCAGTGCTTCCATCCCCACTCAGTTCCCAAGGACCTCCACCACCGTCCAGGCCATGTGACACACACAACTCTGTCCTCTTAACACTTCACAACTGCTCATCACCTCACTCTGCCACCTGCTTCAGGTAATACCATGCGCTGGAGAACTGGTGTCTGACTGGTGCTTGTTTTGTCTTGCTTCCTACCAGGCAACAGGTATCATTGGGTGAGGTTGCCACGGAAATAAACTCTTCAAGTTCCTGTTATCTCTTCATTGCCCTTTCCAAAGCAATCTGCCAAATCTACTGTGAGAGTCCCAAAACAGAGAATTTATTCCTCTGCCCCCCACAAGCTCACTCAAGGTTAATAATGATGGTTGCAAAGAGCAACAGTGTACTATTAAAGTCCTTAATTATTATGAAATAATATGTATATACTGGTCACTTAGTCCAAGGTTTTGTTATTAATTTTCCATTACCATGATTGACATCAATTGAAGCATTCCTCTGGGACAGCCTTTTTGTTGTTATTGTGACAATTGCAGGGGCAAAATGGATTAATCCCTCTCTCCCAACATGCTGTGGTTCTGATTCTAATTTTTTGAAGGGGGAGTGGCTGTGCCTGCTATTTACCATTCAGAAGACAAGCCACAAATCCAAAAATGACACATATAAATGATACATATGTTACTTAGTCCCAAATCTCCTTTAATTCAGTGGGATTTGGGGTGACCTTGAAGCTCATTTGGGCCAGTCCCTATCTCTCAGACTACCTATCTACCTCACAGGGTTGTTGTGAGGATAAAGAAGGGAGAACCAAGTACTCTACCCTGAGATCCTGGGGGGGAAATAGAATATAAATATAACAATACTCACCCCCATCGTTCTGCCCAGACACTGAAATCCAGCTCCGAGGGCCTTCTGGCGGTTCCCTCACTGTGAGAGGTGAGGTTACAGGGAACCAGGCAGAGGGCCTTCTCGGTGGTGGCACCCGCCCTGTGGACTGCCCTCCCATCAGATGTCAAGGAAATAAACAACTATCTGACTTTTAGAAGACATCTGAAGGCAGCCCTGTTTAGGGAAGTTTTTAATGTTTGATGTTTGATTCTGTTTTCAATCTGTTGGGAGCTGCCCAGAGTTATTATTATTACTTAAAGACATTTCTGAAGCAGCGCCTTTCTTACTCACTTTCCCCCCGATTCTTACACCTCTCAGCAAGTTCACCATGTTTTCCATCTGAATTTTCTAACTGTTCAACTGGCCCCAAGAACCCCACTGTCCAATCAGACCTTGCTGTTACACAAACCAATCACACATTAGAGCAAAGCAACCAATCATATAGAAGTTCCATTGTTTGTCCAACCAATGGGAATGGTGTGTTATACAATCATGCATTAGAACAAAACCACGAATCGTATAGAAGTTTCATTGTTTGTCCAGACTATGGGAATGGTATGTTTTATTGGGTGCTATATCCAGACCCTAAAGAACACCCAGGGCCAGCCCTACCAGTAGTGAGGCGCCTGCCTTGGGCAGCTGATTTTAAGGTTTATGAAAGGGCAACAAATTGTTACCTATTTAATTTTATTACTGTTGTATTTTCGCAACCAGAGACAGGGAGAGAGGTTTGTAGGATATTTCTGCCTCAGATTAAAAATAACTCACTAAGGTACAGTGGGACTGGAGAGCAAATGGGAGGTTTTCCTAACCGTTCTCCAAACTGCTAAAATACCTGCTCTATCTCACTTTTTGGGAGTCAGTGCATACATAGGAGGGAAGAGTTAAATTCTCAGAAGGAACGTGGCCTAACTACCTACGAAGAAGCTCTTGAAGCAGGGTTTATCACTGCTGTCAAACAGAACAAAAGCCACGCTTAGAAGGTAATCGGCCGGTAACTTTTGTAGATAATTCTATGGAAGATAGGGTGTCTTTGTTCACTAATGCAGAAAAAGTTGTGATAACAAGACTTATACAGGTGACCCAAAACAAGCAGTGATAATTTCATGACTGAGAGGAGCAGGAGGACCTGGCTCACTCGCCCCATCCCTCCTATTGTGACTCACACCACCCTCCCCACACCACTGTCCATGTATTAGAGGTTGCATCTGCAGTCCGAATGTATATAGGCTCATCCCAAGAGTTGGAACTCTGAAAACATAAGGTTCCACCTCATGGGGCCAGACTTTGTGTGTTTGACAGGCTGCCCCACTGCACTCAACAAATGGATGGCATGGGGAGTGGCTGGTACAGGGCCTGGGTGAGGGTTTAGGTGTGGTGCCCTCACTATGGAAATTTGGCAGCCCAACTCTTTATTGGTTTTTTAGAAGATCAGTAAAGACCATAATGTACCAGTGTGCATTTGGGGACCCTATTATAAACTAAACCCCTGGTGAAACCCAGAGGTCTGTGACTGGATCTCTCACACCATCCAAAACTCTAAATAGGGAAAGTTCTATTAATCCTTTCCACCAAAACCATTATACCAATCTGAATCCACCCTGCCACAACCTGCTATTTACAGTGCAGGATAAAATGTATTAGAACCATTAGAAAAGCACCCTACCCCAGAGAGTGCATACTAGGTAATTTCGATTTAAAATTCAAAGTGGATTAATTTCTCCCTCGTGCATATTTGAGGCATGGTAAGATTCCTACAAGAGAGGCTCTTTCCCAGCTTTTTGTAGAAATGGGCCTTCTTCCCCAATGCCCCCTCCCACAGATCACATAATTATGTAACTAGTTCTCTTTCATAACTGAACTTTGAATTGCTGTGCCAGGTGATAACTGAATGTTTACCAGGATGTGGTAAATGCCAGAAGTGATGGGATCTGGCACTGACCAGTTCTTGGAGGATTTTCAATTTTTCATCATTCTCCAAGGATCTGTCAACTGGTGTCATGGGAATATAAGAGTCCGGTTATGCAAGTTGTGAAGAAATGGTTCCATGTCAGAAAAACCCTAAGTGTGTCTGCTCAGAAGTAGTAGAGAAAGGTGAGAAAGTGTGTATCTTTCTATAATATCAGAACACAGGAACATGTGCTGAAGCTGAATGTTGGAAGAGTCAGGACACAAAAAAATGAAGTATTCATTCACATAGCATATAATCAAATAATTTGATTCACTCGCATGAGATGTAGTGATGGCCAGCAACTTGAATGGATTTATAAGATAGCCTTATCCTTCATGAATTTGTCTAACTCTCAGTAGCTACTAGGCATGATGGCAATGTTCTGCCTCCACTATCAGAGGCAGTAAGCTGCTGAAAACCAGGTGCTATTATTTTAAAGAATGAAATCAAGGAAGCATTTGAAATGTTGTAATAGTGGGTGACTTCTACTACCTTCATATAGACTGGCCAGTGGCATAGCATTGATTGCTAGCAGTTGGGGCACGCGCACCTGCCAGGCAGAGTGTGCCAGCCGAGCCCACAACGCCAAGGCTGCCAGAGCAACCCCACTAGAGCAAAGTGGGGCTGTGATGAGCTGCCTGCCCTCCCGTGCAGGGGGAGCCCAGCCAGTTAATGCGGCCCTTGGCAGGCAGTAAGAAGCACTGAGCTGTTCTGCACTGGGGGTGCCTACATGGGGGGCACCTGGTTCATGCCCCCTCAAAAATTGTGTGCCAGGGACCGTGGCCTCTCTGGCATCCCCCACACTACACCCCTGAGACTGGCTACATATGTGTTCCAATCAAGACAAACAGATTAAATTGTTAAAGGGAACTGCCTTTCCTACTCTGTCTACAGTTATGCCTATACACTGGCTGTTGGATTATGACATCATAACATGTCACACTGTGCTTATACCCACTGATTCCTGATTGGCTGACTCCAATCATTTATGAGGTCACAGAAGGTGTGTTAAATAGCTCCTTAGGAAATTCATTGTTGGTGGAGATACAAGGTTACATTTCACCCAGAACTGATGCCAGGCTGGTGATGGTAACTTTTTTCCACGCTATCTCCCCAGTTCTTGTACCCCTGAATATCTTTCAACCTCACTTCCGAAGAAGCAGCTGAATTCACAATCCCAGTGGTCTCCCACCGAATGGAAAACTTGGTAGCATTGCTCCTAAAGCTTCCCAATACTTGGAGAAAAGGTAATTTTGCATAGGAATTCAAATAAGCTGAATTCCTCAAGTGTTTCTATCTTAAGTGTGCTTCACATCATCAACTTAGAAAGCTACTTCTGTTCCTTCCTAGCAATCACTGCTGAGAACAAAGGAGAGTGTCAGCTGTTCCTTTGCACTGAGCAAATGCACGTGTAATAGGTGCCACATTGAAAAGGATATTCTAGCCAACTATTTCCAGACCAGTATTCAGAAGTAGTTCATCTCTAAGCCAGCAATGGTTTAATACCAAACAACAATAGATTCCCATGCCAACTCCTTTATCAGAATTATGAATCTAAAGTCCATAACTGATTGTGGTGGTCCTTAAGTAAGGAGCATGCATGTGAGAACTCAATACTCAATCCTTTGTCTCTGCTTTATACAGGGTAAGTGCAAGGCAGCAATGATGGGTGGGTCAGGATGAGCAGATCTAATGACAGGTGTCTGGTTGATATGCAGTAGATCAGCAAGGATATGTGGCTCTCAGAGTTGTTTTAACAATAGGGACAATGAAATGGCTCCTCACCTTGCTCCTTCGACTGTTGAAATGAAGAATGCTGGGAAAGCAGATTTTGAGTGAAAAGACTGAGCCCAGCTCAGTTCTGAGCAGTAGCTCAGAAGCACCATGCTCTTTAATTCTAAGTAAGTGTATGACTTTTGCATCTGACTCCAGTTGGTGGATCACTAGCTTTTAGTAGAATATGCAAGCTTCAAGCCTGCTTTCTTCTGCACTAGAGTTGTTGCACACCACAGCTGCTAAGAAACACCTTGGACAGGAAGATTTTCAGAAAGATCAAAGTGGGGGGAGGGTAGAAGGAGAAGGCATACAGATTGGAAGTCTGAGAGATTTTTTATTCCCAGCTACAAAACTCATCAAAGTAGGAAAAAGACAGCTGGACTTGGTTCATTTGTTGGTCTTCTCTTTTGTTGACCTCCTCATCGTTCAGAGTCAGGAACATCCAAACTGAAACTACAAACATCTCAGCAAGACCAGGTAGTTGGTTAGTCAGCTCCTTTGGACACAAACTGAAAAGAGAGCTAAATATATAGGAAGAGTCTCAGCATGTGGGTTAAGATAAAATCTCTTTTCCTTGTCCTGCATATGAGACAAAACACATGAACCAGCAACCCCACATGACATGTCTGCTACTAGACTTTACTACCAATTTCTTCATCTCTGCTTGTCTGGAAGCATCCCTCAGTTCCACTGTGATCCATCCCCACCTGAACTTCCTCCCCTTGAATCAGCACAGAATCCATCTGTTGTCAGTGTCAGCATTGCTAGTGAGGGAACACCAACTCCTTTTATCTGAGCGTCCTGCTTTGGTGCAGCTGTCGTATGACTTGCCACGAAAGATGAAAGGGAAGACACAGTCCAATTCTGAATGGAAAGAAAGAAAGAAAAAGTGGATTGAAGAGGTTAACCTGAGAGATGGGCAAGTCTATCAATTTTGGTTACTCTCACTGTTTAAGTGCAAATTTCTCCTAATATAGTGGTACCTCGGGTTAAGTACTTAATTCATTCCGGAGGTCCGTACTTAACCTGAAACTGTTCTTAACCTGAAGCACCACTTTAGCTAATGGGGCCTCCTGCTGCTGCCACACCGCCGGAGCACAATTTCTGTTCTCATCCTGAAGCAAAGTTCTTAACCTGAAGCACTATTTCTGGGTTAGCGGAGTCTGTAACCTGAAGCGTATGTAACCTGAAGTGTATGTAACCCGAGGTACCACTGTACAGTTCTACCTTGTTTGGAAACCAAGGCATGCCATTGAAAATCAAGCCATTGATTCTGAAGCCATGCCGGACATTTGGCTTCCAAAGAACGTTCGCAAACCGGAACACTCACCTCCAGGTTTGTGGCATTCGGGAAACAAAATGTATGAGTGCCAAGGTGTTTGGCTTCCAAGGTACAACTGTATACACAATTTTGAAAAGTGTATCTTTCTCTTAAGATAACAGATTGGTTATTTTATTTTCACTAGTATATTTTTGTCATCCCTACTTAAGTTTCACACTTTTAGTCTACCATTTCCCATAATTTCTACCTATGATAACATTATTCAGTGATTTAAAAAACCCTTGTGTTTCAGATGAAAGTTAAGGCACAATCTTGTGCTCCAAAACCACCAGGAAATTGTAAGGCATGATAAATGCCTTAACTTCTAGGCCAAGTAAGCAGTAAAGATTTTGTATGGTCTCAACTCATAGACTCCATGCACCCACACTTCGACCTGGTCTTTAGTCTGACCTACAAATAGAAACATAAATAACCCCCACCCCACCCTTGGCCTTTTATTTGCCCTCCCAATCTGCTCACGGTTGCAAAATCTCCATTTCAAGCCAGTTTGGTAGTCTGGAGTGGTGGCACACCAAGCTTTTCCTTCATGTTTATCCAGGGTGGTGCAGCTTTCATAAGGTTTCCCCTTATAGATAAAAGGGAAGACACAGCCTGTTTCTGAAAAGAAAAGAAGGGGTGGGGAAGAGAGTTGTAGTAAGACCACAACTGCATCTCAGACTGCAAATTACTTTTGCCAGACTCTAGGGTTGTGCGCTCATCTCACTCTATAGGCCGGGAGCCAGCGCTGTCCGCAGACACTTCCGGGTCACATGGCCAGCGTGACAAGCTGCATCTGGCAAGCCAGCGCAGCACATGGAAACGCCGTTTACCTTCCCGCTAGTAAGCGGTCCCTATTTATCTACCTGCACCCAGGGGTGCTTTCGAACTGCTAGGTTGGCAAGCGCTGGGACCGAACGACGGGAGCGCACCCCGCCGCGGGGATTCGAACCGCCAACCAGATGATCGGCAAGTCCTAGGCACTGAGGCTTTAACCCACAGCGCCACCCGTGTCCCTCTCCTAACAACATATTGGGACCCAAAGTCGAAGAACACTGCCATAGGAGGAAATAGCTAGATTCCTGCCACCCTGCCTTTCTTCACAACCACAAAATTTCTTCTTTCTCATGCATGTATTTTACTTTCACAGGCTTTGCTGCCCTATACAGAGTAGTCGCTCTTCAGTATTACATGGACATAAATGGTTTTTTTAATGACAGTGTCATAATAAGGTACTGAGCAAGCCAAATGAGGAAGCACTCACTAATCCCAACCCTTCCTTAACACAGAAGGGGGGAGTATTTGCAGCAGATGTTCTACTTTAGAGGGCCATTCATAATTATGGATACAAGGTAGAACAAGGAATATTCTTCTTGTATAAACGGAAGATATAGTGGTGAGCAATTTGCCACATGTATAAATGTATGCAGCCCAGTTTGCTCGTTATATTTTGTTGCAGTAAGGTCACCACAAAGTGATTTTTGCACATGCACCTTTGGTGAAGAAAATGGGTGATGGGGTAGAGTTGGCACTTATATTGCCCTATCACACATTTAAACCTCCAGCACACACAAACAATGAAAACCTCATAGTCTAAATGTGAAAATAATGTGATCAAAGATGAGTGTGGTCACCAGATACATTGGGATTATGTCCCTCATCTAGATGTGATATAAGCAGATCAAGTATCATTAATGAGCTTATCTGCTAACAGATAAATGTTGATGCTCTCCTTTGGAAAGCTGTAGACTTTGATGATTCATCAGCAATTGCATCCCAAGAGAAAAGGGGGCATGAATTTCCATTTTAATTGCAGTAAAGAATGAGCCTCAGAGAAAAGGTATGTCTCTCCACTTTTCTCCTCTGCCTGTCTCTTACCTGTGATGGTGCAAAACATTGATTTCTTATCTGCATCATAGTTGGCAGTGGTGGCACACCACAGCTTCCCATCAGTCCGTCCATCTTCTGTGCAGCTGCTGTAATTCTTGCCATCAAATATGAATGGAAAGATGCATTTGGGAGGTTCCTTGCTTATATCTGGTCCTGTTTCAAGGAGGAAGGGTGGGGAGAGGCTAATTTTCAGCTAATTATATACACGTTTATGATGCCTGTCCTCCAGGGCCAACTTCACCTGGGGGTGCAAGGGGTGCGGGGCACCCAGGCGCCAAATTCTGGGGGGCGCCAACCAGTCCCTTGCGATCAGCAGCAGTGAAAGGAAATGGAGTGTAAGTCCCCGCCCGCCTCCACCATTGCTCTGTTACTCCATAGCGTCAAATATTCCCGATGAGTCAGGAAACAAAAGCAGTTTTTTCCACTGTATTGTTGTTACAGGTGAATTTTGAGTTCACTCCCCCTAAACTAAATTTGGGGGCGCTGGGTGGATCTTTGCACCCCGGCAGCACATATGCTAAAGACGGCCCTGCTGTCTTCCTTTGTCTGCAGAGTACTCTCCTGCATAATCCTCCACAGTTCCGTGCTTTTGCATGATCAGACAAAGAGGAACACCCTTCTCCTAAACCAACCCAAACACTTTTGCTGTCCTCTTCCTACCTGTGACATTGCAGTACATCCATTTCTCATCCGTGTCATAGTTGCTGGTGGTGGCGCACCAGTGTTTCCCATCACTCATGCCCTCTGTAGTACATGTGCTGTAGGAGTTGCCCTTGTAGATGAAAGGGAAGGTGCAAGATGGACTCTCTACCTTCAGATCTGGTCCTAGGTTTTAAAATTAGAAATAAGGTAGATGGAGAGATATGTGGGCAATCCATATCATAACTGATGCCACAGAGAGAGGATATGATATCAGCCAATCCATATGCCCATACACAACACCTGAGAAGCTGAATTTGGCGGCATATTTGGGCCCCCAAAACTATTTTGTTCCCTTATTGCTAACTGAAGTGAGTAATTCTCCTGTTCCTTTTTTTTTTTTTTTTTTGCTAAGTAACACTGCTTTACTAGATAGACAATCCCTACGAGTCAGAAGTTGAGGCCTCTGAATAAATATGACATGCTGAGGGAACAACTAGACACACATATATGGCTGTCTTTTAAAATTGGAGTCACTCATTTTTTGTATCAGATCAATGCAGTTCAGTTTTTGTGTTTTTGATTTTTTGTAAACTAAAGCCCTCTTCATATTTTCTCCACATGGTGTAGTTTCCTACAGGTATAATGTAAAGTGAGGCCATGCCCCCAATATCATACCTCTTGCTCATTCTTCCCCCTCAACACCCACATGTTAAATATGTATGTCTAGAAAGAATTGTAGTTGTTGTTCCCAAGTAGCTGCTCCACACAAATTGTATGGGGCAGCTGTACATAAGCAAGACTGTGGACCAGATGTGGTTCTTCAAACCTTCCTGTCTGATCCTTGAAACTTTCCCCAGGTCACACCTTCTTTCACCCAAGCCATACTCCTTGAGTATTTTTACCAAGCTAGAATGTGTACTTGAACTCTGATAATGCCTCTCACTTGACTATCTAAAGGATAGAAAAGGATACGTGAACATGTGAAATGGAAATCACTAATCTGCATTCATTCTGTGCCCCTCTGAATCTCCCTGCTGGAAGCTGGTCTCTATTTTCTTTTCCTAGCTTTAGACTTCCTCAGGCCCTTACCTGAGTCCTCCTCGCAGAACTTCCATTTATTGTCGACATCATAGTTGCTGGTGGTGGAACACCACAACTTCCCATCATTCCGCCCACTTGCAGTGCAATTCATATACAACTTGCCCTCAAAAATGAATGGAAAGGCACATTTGGGAGCTTCCTTGCTTATATCTGGTCCTGTTTCAAGAAGGAAGTGCAGGGTGGGGGAGAAGAATGTTGTGCTTTTAGGCTAATTATATACACTTCTATGATGTCTGTCCTTCTTTGTCTGCAGAGTACTCTCCTCTTTAATCCTCCAGTGCTGCTTGCTTTTTCTTGATCTGACAAAGAGGAACACCCTTCTCCTAAACCAACACAAATACTTTTTGCTGTTCTCTTCCTACCTGTGACATTGCAGTACACCCATTTCTTATCCACATCATGGTTGCTGGTGGTGGCACACCAGAGTTTCCCATCACTCATGCCTTCTGAAGTGCATGTGCTGTAGGATTGGCCCTTGTAGATGAAAGGGAAGACACAAGTTGGACTCTCTACCTCTGGATCTGGCCCTGGATGTTAACATAAAAAGAAGCGGGTTCAAACATTTGTGGAGCACCCAAGAAAATATCTCATGTCAGATTACAGATAGAGAAGATACAACATCCACAGACACTAAGAGCTGCAAGCAGTATCCAGGAAAAAATGAAATGTTGCTTCTGATGTACCACTAGGGATGTAAGAAGGTATTATTTTCCAACCTGCCCTGTATTCGTTGCATGCAGCACTGTTTCCATTCTGCTTCAGTTCATCTTCCACCAAAAACTACATTATGTTATTGTTCAATGTGGCAAAATTGTGTAATTTACGTAAGTTTTATAATTAATGACGCTGATTATGTTGTCATTACGTTATCCCACTCCATTCATTTCAATGCAAATGGAGGGAACTATCATAAAGTATCATTTGCAGTCTCAAAACAGAAACAATAGCAAATACTGATTTTATTCACTGGATTTTTTTCACAGGATGAATAAAAGAACATTGGTGATTTCCACTCCCATTTCCACATTTACTGAAATTCTCTGACATCCATAGGTGCTGCCCAAATATTTATGTCCTTCCCTTACTCCCATTACTGCTTTAGCACCTGGTGACAGGAACTCATTAGAGGAATGCAGTGGGATCAGGGTGGAAGACCTGGAGCCCATTGTGATGACATACAAACATAACAATTTATCTCAAGAGTACCACATATGAGTTATTTTTAAAATCCATACAATACAGTTACAAATTACAAAACAAATTACAAAACAGAACAGTTCAATAGCTGTTTAAGGGCGTTAGTGTAATTCAGATAGAAATGAAAAGGTTTGAAGAAAGTTAACAAAGATGGGGCCATAAGTATCTCCTTCAGAACAGTTAAAAGAAATTACGGGGTCATCAATGATTAAGCCCCTGTTTCTAGTGCCTGCCAGCCTAATGGGCCTTGACAGCGAGCCTTTGAGCAAGCTCCTTGAGGCTTATCTTAAGAACTGGGAAGGTTCCTATGAGCACAGGTGGTCCTTCAAATAATCTGGTTGAAATTATTTAGGGGCTTTAAAGATCAACGCCACAATTTAAAAAAACAAATTCCCAAAAGAAATACACAACCAATATAACTGCAACAGTGTCTGTACAATATGTTCTGAATGCCTCCCCCCACTCCTATAATTTCTCTCAATGTTCAAAAATCCATGGAGAAATTATCAAGTGTGAAATAGAAGGGTCAGCTGCCCTTTGAATGGAAGAATTCCCCACCCCGTCCTAAATGAACACAAACTATATATGTCCTTCTCCTCTTACCTGTGTCATTACAGTACATCCACTTCTTATCTAAATCATAGTTGCTGGTGGTAGCACACCAGCATTTCCCATTGCTCATGCCGTCAGTAGTACATGCACTGTAGGACTTGCCATTGTAAATGAATGGAAATACACAAGAAGGACCCTCTCCATTTGAGTCTGGCCCTGAATTTGGAAGTAAAAAGAAGATGGGTGTAAGCAGGGCTTTTTCAGCTGGAACTCACTGGAACTCAGTTCCAGCACCTCTCAGGTGGGTACCGTTGCCATTACAGTGGTACCTCGGGTTACATACGCCTCAGGTTACATACGCTTCAGGTTACAGACTCCACTAACCCAGAAATAGTACCTCGGGTTAAGAACTTTGCTTCAGGATGAGAACAGAAATTGTGCTCCAGCGGCACGGCGGCAGCAGGAGGCCCCATTAGCTAAAGTGGTGCTTCAGGTTAAGAACAGTTTCAGGTTAAGAACAGACCTCTGGAACAAATTAAGTACTTAACCTGAGGTACCACTGTATAAGAAAACAAGGGAGGCTTCTGGGTGAGTTCCAGCACCTCTTTTTCTAGAAAAATAGCACTCAGGGCAAGGATTTGTGGACCTCTCAAAGCAGAAGTAGTTATCATCTTAGGTTACTTATAGGGAAGATTTTCTGTCAGCACACAACATACACGTTTTCACTCCAGAGTGGAATACATACAATCTGAGATGTACCCGCTTCTGTTCTAAGCAAGGAACAGGACAATGATTTGTTTGATGGCCATCCATGATGAGCTGAGGCTCTTACATACATGAGCAGAGAAAAAAGTACCTCTAGGCCCTATCATAGGAGGGGGGTGGGAAAACACTGAGAGGGTTTTTTTAAAAAAAATGAAATCAGATGGGGCTGAAATAACATTAAAGTAGGTGTGAAGTGAAACTCCCTATTAAAAACATTCCATAGTGAGTGTGTTACCCCAGTGTGTTACCACTATGAAGGTCCTGACCCTTACCTCTTATGGCAACTCCTCCCGAATTAACCTATATTGTGCTGCTTTTCTTGTTATTATTCTTGTATAAACTTGCTTTATGTGTTTTTATCATTGCATGATTGTATTGTTGCAACCTGCCCCACGACCTTATGGTGAAGGGGAAGGTAAGAAATGTTATAAATAAATCCTTGCCCACCACCATATTATCCTCAGATGTGCTGTGCTGCATTCCCAAAGCTCTTTACGCTCCTCTCATTATAGGGTGGGATTCAGATATGCCCTAACCCAGACAACTGCCCAGTTCCTGTAAGAAACATAAAGTGTTATCTCCATTCAGTAACCTCTGGATTATTTGTAGATAGAAAGAAAATAAAAATGAATCTGCTCACTGACAAAATACATTGGGTTAAAAAAAATTAAAGGAGGGTAGAGCAGGTAGGATTGGGACTGAAAAGCTGGTACTCTTCCAGCTAGCAAGGATAAAGATTATATTCTGAAGTTAGATGTACCCTATCTAGTGAGACTATCGTCCACTGAACAGCTTGTGTGCTGTCATGCTATTGCTTCCTTTAAAACACTGTAATTTTAATGAAATCCTAGCATTTCACTAAACAAGAGGAAACCTATGGGTTCAGAACTCCTGAGGAACTGAGGAAGTATCTTGGCCCACACCAGTTTGACCATCTGGTACCAATGGGAATGATTAACCTCCACTTCCTCTGTTTTCTCTGAGCTTACCTGAGTCCTGGCAGAACTTCCATTTCTTGTCAGCTTCATAGTTGCTTGTGGTGGCACACCAGAGATTCCCATCACTCCGCCCATCTGCAGTGCAGCTGAGGTAAAACTTGCCCTTGTAGATGAATGGGAAGACACAAGGCGGGCTTTCCACACTCTCATCAGGCCCTGGTTTTTGAACAAATAGAAGGAAGAAATGTTCTTAAAGAATGGAACACTTTCGCACATACCTTTATTATTCTATTTGCTTGTTCTCCAAGCCTTGCTAATTCTATCTCATTTTACCAATCAGCTTAGCCAATGGTGAGGGATGATAGGAAGTTGAAGAAGACTTGGGTAGACATGGAGGAGAAGCAGTTTATTATGCAGTTCTCACATTGTATGGGCAATCTATCCAGAAAATAAATTGTATCGAGGAGTTAGTGATCTAACATGGTTGCCTTTCCTGCCTCCGTTCCTTCCCCTTCTTATCTCTTGTTAGCTCTTTGATGGCTGAGAAGTGGGATCATCTTGGTTGTGGGCAGGCCCCCAGCCCGGTTCCTCCCCCCACCCTGGCATGGGCGGAGTAATGCTTTCATGCCAGTGTGGCATCACAATCACTCCAGACCTATTGGCCAATCATTTTTGAGCAGGGGGATTGTGAGGAGTTTAAAAGTGGCAGCGCGACGTCGCTATGCACCTGGTTCTCACTGCCAAACACCCGCATACCCGCCCTGTAATTTATGTGTTCTCTGGCCTTGCTTTGGATGTTGGTTGGTCGCCTGTCTTGGGACAGGGGCCAGGTAGGAATTTTTCCATTTGGCAAATTGGCATGAGCCAGTTGGTTTTAGCAATCGTCACAACTTTGTAAGGTTTGGCAGTTAGGCATTGGCTCATTGAATTGTGGGGGGGGGGAGGTCAGCTATCACCTGCCTCTCCATTGACCAAGGGTATTCCATTAAAGGAAGCCAGGGCCTGGTTCCTGTCTGAAGTCCGCTTGAGGGGCTAGGGCCATGCCAGGCCTCTGGGAACACCGAGGAAAGCTATAGGCGGGTTCCCCCGATGTGGCTTCCTATTGGGGTGGTTTACCCTTATTGACTACCTGCAAAGCAGGCAGGAGTCTGATATAGTCTATGCCAATACCGCTCACATTTCTGTAATACAATAAAGTTGTGGCCTAAAATTTTGCCAGTAACCTTAAACTAAATATTCTGTGTTCATGTGAATTTATTTTAACAAGGGGCTAGTCTGGGGGCCTTGCCACACAACAGCCTTTAATGCCCTAATCTGTGGAAGGAAGTGATAGTGTTGGGTACCTTCGCCTTCTTTGGTGTTAGACATTGTTTGGAGAACATGAGGCATTGGGAGAGGTGGCTGATGAATAATCTGCATGTAGCCAGTCGAGCAAGCCACACAGGCTGACAGGCTAGCTATCTATTAATCAGATGGTGTTGAGCAGAGTCTAAGAAGCTCATGCATGGACTGATGGCCACAGGGCCGTGCAGACTAAGGCTACCTGGGGGAGTCACTTTGCCTCTTCTTGAGGGCTTCCAAGTGTCTCATTGAGGTGCTTGCTTGGTATGTACAGTGGTACCTCGGTCTCCGAACAGCCCTGTTAACAAACAATTCAGGATACGAACTCTGCAAAACTGGAAGTAGGTGTTCCGGTTAGTGAACTTTGCCTCAGAAGCCGAACAGAAGCCGAATGGTGGAAGGGCACCGGCAGTGGGAGGCCTCAGTAGGGAAAGCATGCCTTGGTTTAAGAATGCTTTGGTTTAAGAACAGACTTTCGGAATGGATTAAGTTCGTAAACCAAGGTACCACTGTATATATTGCTTGCTGTTTAGAATAAAATCTTTAATCTTCTCACTCACTTGTGTTTTGTATTACTTCTGGATCTCATTTAAAAGAACCACCTTGCATTTCACAAGATATAAATTTATAATGTCCCTTTTCCATCCAAATCTGGAAGCTCCAAGTGAATGGAAATGTTATAATGCATGTAATGAACAATAAAGCAAAACATTGTATAAAATTGCAAAAAAGAAAAGAAAGCAACACATTGCACTAATCAAACTACAACGTCACATAAATGTCACATGATAATGCCTAACTATATCACCAAAAAGAACGCAAATGATTGCCAAAACTATGTGACACAGCCAGGGCTAGCCCACCCAATAGCCAGTGATAGCAGAACCTGGCTACTCCAGAAAGGAAAAAGGCTCATAGCTCAGTGGTAGGCCAACTGCTTTGCATGCAGATGGCTCCGGACTGAACCTCTAGCAACTGCAAGTAAGGTTGCCTGCCTGAAACCCTGAAGAGCTGCTGCCAAGTGATATAGAAAATACTAAGCTAGTATTTCAAATGGTCTTACTCAATATATGTAGAAGCTTCCTATTTGTGTTGTTCTCATCCTGTGACATTACAGGACATCCATTGGTATTAGGCTAATTTTATACACCTCTATGATGTCTGTCCTTCTTTGTCTCCAGAGTGCTCTCTTCCTTAAACCTCCGCAGTTCCTTGCTTTTGCATGATCAGACATAGAGAAACACCCTTCTCCTAGATCAGGCATGGCCAAACTTGGCCCTCCAGCTGTTTTGGGACTACAGTTCCCATCAACCCTGACCACTGGTGCTGTTAGCTAGGGATGATGGGAGTTGTAGTCTCAAAACAGCTGGAGGGCCAAGTTTGGCCATGCCTGTCCTAAACCAACACAAACGCCTTTTGCTGTTCTCTTCCTACCTGTGACATTGCAGTACACCCATTTCTTATCCACATCATAGTTGCTTGTGGTGCCACACCAGAGTTTCCCATCACTCATGCCTTCTGAAGTGCATGTGCTGTAGGATTGGCCCTTGTAGATGAAAGGGAAGACACACATTGGACTCTCTACCTCTGGATCTGGCCCTGGATGTTAACATAAAAAGAAGTGGGTTTAAACATTTGTGAAGCACCCAAGAAAATATCTCGTGTCAGATTACAGATAGAGAAGATATAACCTCCACGGACACCAAGAGCTACAAGCAGCATCTAGGAAAATGTGGAATGTTGCTTCTTAAGTACCACTAGGGACGCAAGAAGGTATTATTTTCCAACCTGCCCCATATTCATTGCATGCAGCACTGTTTCCATTCTGCTTCAGTTCATCTTCCACCAAAAACTACATTATGTTATTGTTTACTGTGGCAAAATTGTGTAATTTACATAAATTATATAATGAATGACGCAGATTATGTTGTATTTACATTATCCCACTCCATTCATTTCAATGCAAACGGAAGGAACTGTCATAAAGTATCATTTGCAGTTCACATATGTCCTTCTCCTCTTACCTGTGTCATTACAGTACATCCACTTCTTATCTAAATCATAGCTGCTGGTGGTAGCACACCAGCATTTCCCATCACTCATGCCATCAGCGGTACATGCGCTGTAGGACTTGCCATTATAAATGAATGGAAATACACAGGAAGGACCCTCTCCATTTGAGTCTGGCCCTGAATTTGAAAGGAAAAAGAAGATGGGTGCAAGCAGGGCTTTTTCAGCTGGAACTCAATGGAACTCAGTTACAGCACCTCTCCGGAGGGTGCCATTTCCATTATAAGAAAACAAGGGGGGCTTCTGGGTGAGTTCCAGCACCTCTTTTTCTAGAAAAATAGCACTCGGGGCAAGGATTTGTGGACCTCTCAAAGCAGATGTAGTTATCATCTTAGGTTACTTATAGGGGAGATCTTCTGTCAGTACACAACATACATGTTTTCACTCCAGAGTGGAATACATACAATCTGAGATGTACCCGCTTCTGTTCTAAGAAAGGAACAGGACAATGATTTGTTTGATGGTCATCCATGATGATCTAAGGCTCTTACATCCATGAGCAGAGAAAAAAGTTGCTCTAGGGCATTTCCTTTCAGCTTCATAGTTGCTTGTGGTGGCACACCAGACTCTCCCATCACTCCACCCATCTGCAGGAGAATACCCTTCTCCTAAACCAACACAAACACTTTTTGCTGTTCTCTTCCTACCTGTGACATTGCAGTACACCCATTTCTTATCCACATCATAGTTGCTTGTGGTGCCACACCAGAGATTCCCATCACTCATGCCTTCTGAAGTGCATGTGCTGTAGGATAGGCCCTTGTAAATGAAGGGGAAAACACACGTTGGACTCTCTGCCTTTGAATCTGGCCCTGGATGTTAATATAAAAAGAAGTGAGTTTAAACATTCGCGGAGCACCCAAGAAAATAGCTTGTGTCAGATTATAGATAGAGAAGATATAACATCCACAGACACCCAGAGCTACAAGCAGCATCCAGGAAAACGTGGAATGTTGCTTGAGAAGCAACAAAGAGGAACAGCCTTCCCCTAAACCAACCCAAACACTTTTGCTGTCCTCTTCCTACCTGTAACATTGCAGTACATCCATTTCTCATCCATGTCATAGTTGCTGGTGGTGGCGCACCAGTGTTTCCCATCACTCATGCCCTCTGTAGTACATGTGCTGTAGGAGTTGCCCTTGTAGATGAAAGGGAAGGTGCAAGATGGACTCTCTACCTTCAGATCTGGACCTAGGTTTTAAAATTAGAAATAAGGTGGATGGAGGGATATGTGGGCAATCCATATCATAATAGATGCCACAGAGAGAGGAAATGATATCAGCCAATCCATATGCCCATACACAACACCCGAGAAGCTGAATTTGGCGGCATATTTGGGCCCCCAAAACTATTTTGTTCCCTTATTGCTAACTGAAGTGAGTAATTCTCCTGTTCCTTTTTTTTTTTTTTTTTTTTTTGCTAAGTAACACTGCTTTACTAGATAGACAATCCCTACGAGTCAGAAGTTGAGGCCTCTGAATAAATATGACATGCTGGGGGAACAACTAGACACACATATATGGCTGTCTTTTAACACCGGGGTCACTCACTTTTGAATCAGATCAATGCAGTTCAGGTTTTTTTTAGTATACTAAAAACCTATTTATGTTTTCTCCACATGATGTAGTCTCCTACAGGTATAATGAAAAGTGAGGCCATGCCCCCAATATCATACCTCCTGCTCGTTCTTCCCCCTCAACACCCACATGGATGTCTAGAAAGAGTTGTAGTTTTTGTTCCCAGGTGGGTGCTCCACACAATTGTATGGGGCAGCTATACATAAGCAAGACTGTGGACCAGATGTGGTCCTCCAAACCTCTCTGTCTGACCCTTGAAACTTTCCCTAGGTCACACCCTCTTTCACCCAAGCCACACCCCTTGAGTATTTTTACCAAGCTGGAATATGTACTTCATCTTTGTTAATTCCTCTCACTTGGCTGGATGGAGGATAGAGAAGGGTACATGAACATGTGAAAAAACTAGCCTATCTTACAATAAAGAAAATTTACATTCATTGCTCCACCCACTTTTGCTTCTGGTTTCATTCACCACTGGAAGGTTGCCCAGAAAGTAACAAGGAACTCTGTCTGAAAGGGATTCTCCATCCCTGACAAGGGGGTGGTCCAGAAAAGGGACAGCCTCAGGGATATGGCCAGCAGCACAACCTGATCTACCTGTAGGAGCCCTACGTACATGTTGTTGTTTTTAATGTGACTTATGAATCTACAAAATAAAATAAATAGATATGGCCCCTGCTTGGCTTGTTTCTTCCTCCTGCCTTTAGCTTCTCTTACCTGGCTCTTCCGGACATAACTTCAGCTTCTTGTCTGTATCATAGTCGCCTGTGGTGGCACACCATGGCTTCTTATCTCTCCGCCCATCTGTGGTGCAGCTGTAGTAAAACTGTCTCTTAAAGATGAATGGGAAGATGCAAGGTGGACTTTCCGCAACCTTATCAGGGCCTGATTTTTTTACCATGCAAAAGAAATATACAGTATGTCAGGGAGGGATTGGAGTTAATAAGAGATATCCTTGTGCTAGAGAAACCATCAACCTCAACTTTCCAACCCTCTCTGAAGCAGAATATATTCCAAGATATATAAAAGCAGCCCTTTTCACATAAGGAAAATAAAGAGGAGCCCTGTTGGATCAGGCCAAAAGCCCAACAAGATCCTGTTTAAACAGTGGCCTGGTATTCAGGGGTGTGGCAGGGTGGGTGGAAAACAAATTAACTTTGGTGAGCACAACACACTGGTTACCCCAGGCATATGAACTGCCTGTGACAGTATTTGTATTGCTGGGAATGCTTGGACAGGGCAATAAAAATCAATCTAATTGGCCTGTTTGGATTTCCATACATTCATGGCCACATATTATGGCCATATTAGAGCCCCACCTCTCACATCTCATATGTGAAAAAGGAAGTGAATGGCAGAAATTGGGAGAATTCAGTATTTCTCACCTATCCACCACTTTTCTTGTTGAAATTGGGCATGCCCTTTCTACAGGATTGAAGCAGTTCTGTGTTTGAACACAGGGGGACTCTGCCATAAACATCCAGTTTGGCTTGCACTTTTGGAAAAAGGATTCTGTGGGATGTGCCGTCTTCTTACAAGCATTCACAGGAAGCTGCCTCCATTATGCTCTGTGTTGTGTAATCTACCTGGCATCCCATCTCTCACCACTAAACTTCTTCCTGCCCCTCCCATCCTTCGTACCTGAAGGCTGGCAGTATGTCCACTGCAGGTCTGCATTATAGTCTGCTGTGAGAGAGCACCAGGGCTTCTTCTGGGACATCCCATGTGTTGTGCAGGACTCATAGAGCTTGCCGTTGTACATGAAAGGAAAGGCACAAAGGTCCTTGGGCTCAGCAGCTGCATCTGAGCAGGAATGGGGAGGCAAAGTTCACAAGACCAAAAGAGAAGATCATTATGGATGCTTGTAGTCCCGTATCCCAGCATGGATTGCACTGTGCGCATCATGAATTTTCTGCCACGGAATCAAACTATGATTTGATGCGCTGTTAGAAACCTTCCTATAGATTGGGGCATTGAGTTGTGGGCATTGTCAAAGGGAAAGGGTTGTCAAGGTGAAAGGCAAGCTACAAACAAAGTCATGTACAGGTCAGAATTTGATAGCCGTCATGATACTGTTCCTGACTTGGATGTGGGAACTACGAGGGCATTTGAGTCAGCTGCAGGCTGTGTGGCACAGATTAGAACCTTTCTGCCCATTTGCTTCCTTGGTGGCTCTGCAGGGTGATGGTAAAGATTCACCTTGTAATTAATGCATACGAGGGCATAGAGAAGCCACTGTGCAAGTCAAACCCTTTGCCAGTTTCAATACCTGTGTTGTCTAGCTATATGCCCCAGTGCTTGAATGCTGACTGTCAGTTCACACATGCGTAAAAATAACTTTTTGTGTAGTTGTGTGCTGAAGAAGTGATGTACTCTTCTGAGCCTCTTCTCACTCAGTTATATTATTATTATTATTGAATATATGCCCTACCCTTCCTCCAAAAGGAGACCAGTGTACCTTTCATACCCATTTGGGTCCCTTCCACCAAACCCAACACAAACATATATGCTGCTTTCCTCCTACCTGTGACAGTACAGTACACCCATTTCTTATCAACGTCATAATTACTGCTGTTTGCACACCACAGTTTCCCATCACTCATGCCTTCACTAGTGCATGTGCTGTAGGACTTGCCCTTGTAGATGAAGGGGAAGACACATAATGGGTTTTCTGAAGCTGGAGCTGGCCCTGGATTTTAAAATAAAAAGAAGGCAAATGTGAGGATTTGTAGACCACCTAGAGTAGGAACATGTGAAACTGTGTTGTGCTGAATTGGACCAAGGGGTGGAAGAGAAATTTAGTTTTGCTTGCATTTTAATAAGTAATCTGCACTTCTCAAAACAATACGAGAACCGAAACAAATCTATCTTTCAAAATTCGCACTTCCCTGAATTTTGTAATACAGTCCTCCAACCAATGTGTATATCAAACCGAATATATTAGTGAAAATTGCATCCAAGCATGCATTAAATTATGTGGAATTGCTTTCAAAAAAATATGCTATTTACTAAAAAATTGCTTCAAAAGATAAATTTGGTCAAAATGCTGGTGAATTTTCATGAATATATCTCAAATTCACAATGACAACAGTGTTAAGAATCATTTAAAATATAGGTCAGTTAAGATAAATAAAAAACACCAGTATAAACTACAACACAGCTAAATGGGGTTCTACCTTCTTAATTAGCTCCTTAAGAAAATGGGGTGAAACGAAGATGGAATGTTAAAAGAACCATTTTTCATGCTGAGATTCCTCCCCTCCATATTTTTAGCATTCTCCAGGTGCCATTTTCTTTCTCCTAGAGTGCCCCTGGAGCATCAAAAGCAATGTCTTCAACCATAAAAACAGTGTCATGCAAAAATTCCTAGCCTAGACGAAGTCTTCCTAGGGCCAAATTAGGTATGAAGTAGTGCTTCAACACCAGACTCCCACAATCACATAGAAAGGAGGGGTGGGGGGGGATGACTGACAGAAAGGATGCACAGTTTAGAGCACACAGCCCTCCCCATAACTTCTCTCCCTGAGTGCTTCTCTCCTCCACTGCACTTTGATGCTGTAATTGTCCCCAGCTGGCAGATGGGGGAAGCTTGCAGAAAGAGGTTGAGGGAACTAAGAGGTAGGCTTGAGTGGTGAGGTTCAGAAACTCTGATCCGGCCCACCCCTTTTGAAAATCTCCCCTTTCTATATGATTGGAGCAGTCCTGTGGTGAAACTGACCTAACTGTTGTCATCACCTCTAGCTGGATCACAGAAAAGTGTTCCTGGTGGGATCCTGCCTCTTCCCTACCAAGCTTACAGCTTTCAAAAGAATGTAAGGAAAGCCTGCTGGATCACACCAACGGCCCATCTGGTTCAGCATCCTGTTTTCCCAGTGGCCAACCAGATGCCCGTGGGAAACCCACAACCCAGACCCAAGTCCAACAGCACTTTCCCCTCCTATGGCTTCCAGCAAGTGGGATTCAGAAGCAGTACTGCCTCCACCCATAGAGGAAGAGAGTAGCCATCATGGTTAGTAGTCGTTTCTCTTACCTGAGGGCTCACAGTAAGTCCACTTCAAGTCAATGTCATAGTTGTTGGTAAGGGAGCACCAGGGCTTTTTGTTAGAAATCCCATCTGTTGTGCATGCCGAGTAGGATGTATTGTTATAGGTGAAAGGAAAGACACATGGGCCCGTGGGATTGGCATCTAGTCCTGAGGAGGGGAGACAAAGACAGTGTTCCCCCTACCCTTTAGGGAAATGTTGGTACAAGAAGCATAAATGCAAGTGTACTCCAGTGGATAGTGTGTTCAACTTGGATTCCTGGGTAAAACACTCAACTCAGCCTATTCTCAAGAGCATAAAGCAGGGGTGGGAAACTGATGGCCCTCTAGATGTTGCTGGACTACAACTCCCATCTTTCCTTGACCATTAAGTCATGGTCTCTGGGACTGATGGGAGTTGGAGTCCAACAACAACAACAGAATCATAGGTCAACCAACCCTGCCATAGACTGTTCTGCACATATCTGCTTCCTTTTCCCAGAATGCATGGCACTATAAGGGATTCTTTTTCTCCCAAACTACAATTTGGCAAGTCGTCACACACACACACACACACACATTTTTTAGAACTCACCTATTCTTCTGATTTTATATTGTTCTAACCAGAGCTTTTTTCTGGGGGGACACAGGGGGACGCATACCCCTAAACATTTTGCGAATCTAAGTTTGGCCTCATTGAGGGGCAGTATTTCAATATGAGTAGGAAAATGAGAGTAGCCCTAAACATTTTTTTTTTAAGGAAAGAAAAAAAAGCACTGGTTCTAACTGATTATAAGCTCGTATTTTATATTGTTGTAACTTGCCCTGGGACCTTATACTGAAGACCAGGTAAGACATTTGAATCATAACAACAATGGGTTTGAAGTACTGTAGGCAAAACAACAACATTGCAAGTTGGGAGTTGAATGGTAATGGAAGGCAAAAAATGCAGTCAGTGATAACTAAAGCTTAAATGTATAATTCAGTAGGCATTTATTTTACCATAGTAGATAGGTGGTGTCAAGAGGGATGGGTGTGGTTTGAGGAGGAAAGAGAGAAAAGCCAAGGGGCTCACTGATACCTTGTGCCCCAGGGCCCCCAGAAACCTGGACCTGGCCCTGCCTGACGTTGACCTTGCCCTCTGAGTCTTCTCTTAATCATGAAAAAACATTTTCTTTCCCCAGGTCTCCCTTAATATTGTAACTGATGACTCAGAAGTCTTTATCTCCCATTTCCCTCTGGAGTACCAATACTAATCGCAGTCATGGTCCCTCAGTTTTCTTACTGATGTCAGCACAGAAGCTCCATTCAAGGTCCTTGTCATAGTTTCTCGTGGTGGCACACCAGAATACACCTTTCTCCTCATCAGTGCAGGTGTAGAATGTCCGATTCTTGTAGATGAAGGGGAAAATGCAGGGCTTGCCTCCAGAGTTGCCACCGTACTCTGAAAATGTGGAAGGAACAAGCCACAATGTGAAGAACAGTAGTGCCAGTGGCATGGAAAAAAGTGGCACTGCTCACTTGACTTCCCAGTGCCACATGTCACTGCTGCTTACCAAGAAGGTGGGAGGTAGGCCAGGCAGCAGAGACCTTACATATCCATATATTTGTGAAATTCCATAAATACAACATATTCATGGGAAATGCTTTGAGAAGTATGTGTATTGGGGAATTCTCAGACAAAAATAAAAGTCAAAATTGGGAGAAATTTCTGCTAAAATACTGGCAAAACTTGCATGAGAGAGAAAATTTGCAAACTGATGTGGAAATGTATAGAACTGAACTTAATGGCTGAGAAAAATGAGAAACTGAAATGAACAAGGTTCGCCCATCACTATTAAGGTATCATATAAAGTTTGAGTCACTGTTCAGGAAAAAAATAATAATTCTAGCAGTATTATGGACTACCCACCTTGGAGAGAACAGCGCTTCCATTGGCCATCCTTGTCATAGTTAGGAGTTGTGCCACACCACAACTGTTCATCAATAGCCCCATCCTTCGTGCATGATGAGTAGGCTCTACCATCAAAAATGAAAGGGAAGCTGCAAGATGGAGGACCTTAAAGGAAAAGTAAGAAATTGAGAGGCTGTCAGTATAAGCTAATCTAAGAATCATGGCCAAGTAAAAGTAGCAGGATGTAGCCCTGTTCACTTGAGTATGGAAAAAGGTTCTCCACATTCATCTCTGCTGCAAGTGTGGGGTTCCTCCTGCCTTGAGATTAAGGACACCCCTATTTACGTAAAACTTCATCTGGATATCAGGGGAGTATTGCAATCAATTGATGCATTGAAATGAATGGAATTGGCAATGAAAACATTTACATTTTTTAAGGAAAAACACCTGAAAACATGTTAAAAAGAAAAACTGTATTATAAATAAAATGTGTGTTAGAAATCCCAACTATATTGGCTTCTAGTTAAAATGTGCATATTTATTCAATTGGATTCCTCTTATTGGTTTTCTTATTTTTTTCACTTCTTGGCCACCAGGAACCCTCAGCACAGCTAATGATAGGAGCAACAACATTTGATATAAATTTTGACTAGTGAAACAATTTCCTAAAAACGATTCTAAATGTACAATTCACCAAGCCAGTTTCTGACAGTTCAGCAGCATTACTACAGTTATGAAAATCCAGCAAATGGGATTGATCAAAATCATGGCAGAATAAAACAGAAGCTGTACAAGTCCTAATGATTAGCTGAATGGTGTCTGAATGGTGCAACATTTTTAAAAGTGTTCCTAGTGGGTAGGTACCATTTGAACTTTGGGCTGGCACTGTATCTGGTCTCCCCAACAGCAAGCATCAGGTTTTATCATATTCATTTATAATTGGGCCAGACCTCTTAAGCCTCACATCACCTGAACTGCAACATATCACTTGAGATATGTTTCCTGGCAGTGTGCCAGAGGTCAGCCAGGTCAGGCACACTAGCTGAGGGCCCACTGACCTGGGGTGACCCAATCATTATCTCAGTATAAAAGGGAAAAATGGTCTGGGATTGTATGGGAGAAGCTTTACTGGAGAGGCAAATACAATCCGAAACAGCAAAATTCCCATCAACCACCCCATTTCTTTCCATGGATTAAATCTAGAAAGCTCAGCCCATACGAATAATTTTGTGCCTTCCTGTTAGGAAACAGTTAGCGGTTAGGAAACCTAGTCCTGTTAGGAAACAGTTAGCGGGGCGAGAAGCTAAGAGTGCATACAGAGCTAGGGTAGCCAGTTTAGGCATCACCAAAACATAGAGCAAAAAGGACAGAGATAGACAAAGTTTGCACATGTTTACATATTGGCATGCAACTGAAAATTTAGAAAATTATTACTAGGATTTAAAATGGATATACAGTAGACCTCACCATAGTATGGAAGATTGGCATGAGTACCTGTCCCAGGGCTAACTGTTGATGGCGGACTTCAAGGCCCTGCTCTCCTATCTAGTGGTTCTTCATCTCTAAGACGGTAAATTAGGACATGGTGGCACCTTACGCAGAACCAGCCCAAGTTACTGTGATGTGGAGGCAGAGCAGCAAATGATGCTCTCCTCTAAGTCAAGGGGCACAGTCTCCAAACCTCTTTTGTCACCTGTAGCAGAAAACCCCATCAACACCTCTCCCCATCATAAAACCCAATCATAATAAATAACTAACAATTTGCTGCCTCATGACAAACCCCAGATTTGCTGTTTGAGGGGGCTGCATCACTCTGGCAGTCCTCTGCAATAGCCCTCTAAAGAGACAGCTCGAGAACCTAGAAGCATCTCTTGGCATCAGTATTACCTTTGCCTACTGTGTGGACTGTATGGAGATTGCAGCCTAATACAAGGAATCCCAGGATAGCAAACATCTCAGCTCGTCGGTAAGTCCATAAGAAGTGAAATGTGATGTGTTCCCTTCTCTATATAATCTCTATTTGGCTGCTCCCTACATCAACTTGCCTGCCAAAACTTATATTCCCTCCCTCCTAGAGGAACAGCTGCAAATAAATCATTTTTCTCCTCCTCTCCTACAGAGCACCTGTGGCTTTTTGCCATTTTCTCCAGGAGCTGTCAGGTCACCTCAGACCAATGATTATGGTGGAATAATAGGATGGATTGAGATCCCTTAATTTCCCAATAGTTACATTGAGCCACTCTGTAGCCTGGGATGGGAAACATGTGGCGCTCCCAATGTTGTTGGACTTCAACTTCCATCAACCTCCACCAACTTGACAAATGGTCTGGGTTCATGGACACTGTAGGTCAACAAGCTCTGAGGGGCCACGGGGTCCCCAGTCACCACTCCAGCCATTCCTGTATCCTATCAAGAGCAATCTTCTGACTGCCAAAAGGCCATCTGCCAGGTATCACAAATGTTATGCCATACAACTGAACTATATCACTAAAGCACATCATGAATGCCATTTCTTGTGTGAATACATATCTCTTCTGTTGCAATGCAACTTGAAAAACAGACTGCTTTTGACCATTTCAAAAGAAGAGACTGAAACTCTCAGGTTGTTTCAGTGATGGCAGGCAATGCTTGGTGTGAGGAGGGAAGAAGGGGCAGGTTTATAAATGTTAAAATGGTTCTTGACAGCTTTGGGAATATCGGCTTAATACTGTGAAAGAGCATTGCCACTAGCATGAAAGTGCTAGTTATGTTGTCCCTTTCTTTTAAGAACACATTTTTCCACTGCCTCATCTGTGTGGTTCGCTAATGATATAAGAAGCAAATGTGTTTACAAATGTGAGTCTAGGCCAGGAGTCAGCAAACTTTTTCAGCAGGGGGCTGATCCACTGTCCACCAGACCTTGTGGGGGGCCAGACTATATTTAGGGGGAAAATGAATGAATTCCTATGCCCCACAAATAACCCAGAGATGCATTTTAAATAAAAGGACACATTATACTCATGTAAAAAACACGCTGATTCCTGGACCGTCCACGGGCCAGATTTAGAAGGCGATTGGGCGGATCCGGCATCCGGGCCTTAGTTTGCCTACCCATGGTCTAGATAAACAGATAGTATCGCCTGGATACTGAAACAGAAACTCAGGTGTGAAATATCAGAAGAAAAGCACTGTTAAATCATGTCATCATAGCCCAGTGTCCTGTACAGTGGTACCTCGGGTTACAAACACTTTGGGTTACAGACTCCACTAACCCGGAAGTATTACCTCAGGTTAAGAACTTTACCTCAAGATGAGAACAAAAATCGCATGCTGGTGGCACAGTGGCAACGGGAGGCCCCATTAGCTAAAGTGGTATCTCATGTTAAAAATGGTTTCAGGTTAAGATCGGACTTCCAGAACGAATTAAGTTCGTAGCCAGAGGTACCACTGTACTCAACAGTGGCCAACAAGATGTCTATGGGAAATATGGAAGCAGGACCTGAGTGCAAAAGCAGTCTCTCCACCTGTGGTTCCCTGCAAGTGGTATTTGTGCTGAAATTCCTTTATCCATCTAGAGAGTTTCTGCATGTCCTGTCAGTGTGTGTGTGTTGGGTGTAATAATAATATAATAATAATAAATTTTATGTATATCCCGCTCTCCCCAGCCGAAGCTGGGCTCAGGGCGGCTAACAACAATCAAAATAATCCAACATTCTAAAAACATTCATTATAAAATTAATTAAAATCAAATTAAAATCAAATTGATGGCAACCATTAAGCAAAATTCTGTGCAGATTGCCAGAGGAGGGGGTCAGGCTGCGCCCTGACCAAAGGCCTGGTGGAACAGCTCTGTCTTGCAGGCCCTGCGGAAAGATGTCAGGTCCCGCAGGGCCCTAGTCTCTTGTGACAAAGCGTTCCACCAGATTGGAGCCGCGGCCGAGAAAGCCCTGGCTCTAGTTGAGGCCAGCCTAACTTCTCTGTGGCCTGGGATCTTCAGGATGTTTTTATTTGCAGACCGTAAATTTCTCTGTGGGACATACCAGGAGAGGCGGTCCCGTAGGTACGAGGGTCCTAGGCCGTATAGGGCTTTAAAGGTTAAAACCAGCACCTTAAACCTGATCCTGTACTCCACCGGGAGCCAGTGCAGCTGGTATAGTACCGGATGAATATGATCTCGCAGCGAAGACCCCATAAGGAGTCTTGCCGCGGCATTCTGCACCCGCTGGAGTTTCTGGGTCAGTCTCAAGGGCAGCCCCACGTAGAGCGAGTTACAATAGTCAAGCCTGGAGGTGACCGTCACGTGGATCACAATGGCTAGGTCAGGGTGAGAGAGATAAGGAGCCAACTGCTTAGCTTGGCGGAGATGAAAAAATGCCGCCTTTGTTATAGCTGTAATCTGCGCCTCCATAGAGAGGGAGGTATCGAAGATTACACCCAAACTCTTAATGGACGATGCTGGCACTAATTGCACCCCCACAAGAGATGGGAGTTGCCCCCTCAATCCCATATCGCCCCGTCCCAGCCAGAGGACCTCTGTCTTCGAGGGATTTAACTTCAACCGGCTCCCATGTAACCATCCAGCCACAGCTTCCAGACATCTGGTCAGTGTGTCTGGGGCTGAGTCAGGATGGCCATCCATCAACAGATAGAGTTGGGTGTCATCGGCATACTGATGGCAACCCAGCCCAAAACTCCGGACAAGCTGGGCGAGGGGGCGCATAAAGAGAATCACACCCTGAGGCACTCCACACACCAAGGAGTGGCGCGATGACAATTCCCCCCCAAGCGCCACCCTCTGTCCCCGACCAGAGAGAAACGAGCGCAGCCATTGAAGGACTGTGCCCTGGATCCCCACGTCGGCAAGGCGGTGGTCCAGGAGTTCGTGATCGACCATGTCGAAGGCTGCTGACAGGTCTAGAAGAATCAGCAGCCCCGACCCGCCTCGATCCAGCTGCCTGAGGAGATCATATGTTAGGGCGACCAGAGCCGTCTCAGTCCCATGACCAGCGCGGAAGCTGGACTGGAATGGATCGAGAGCCGATGTTTCATCCAGAAACCTACCAAGCTGTTCAGCAACTGCTCTCTCAATCACCTTACCCAGGAATGGAAGATTCGAAACCGGGCGGTAATTGGATAGATCTAAGGGATCTAATGATGTTTTCTTTAAGAGCGGACGCACCACTGCCTCCTTCAGTTCCCCTGGGAATATCCCGGTGCCAAGGGACAAATTGATGATATCACCCAGGGGGGCCCGCACCTCGTCTGGGCACGCTCTAATCAGCCAAGATGGGCACGGGTCAAGAGGACAGGTGGTGGGCTTTCCAGCTCGGAGGAGTCTGTCCACATCGGCTGGGGATATCCGGTCAAAGTGGTCCAATACTGGACCCGAGGACAGTCGAGGGGCCTCCAGTTCCTTTATTGTATCCAAATTGGCAGGGAGGTCATGGCGGAGCAACAGGACCTTCTCCGCAAAAAAGCTCGCAAATGCCTCACAGCTGTGTGTCAAATTGTTATTTAAATTTGGCTGTCCTTCAAGGGACGTTAAAGACCTAATTATACTAAATAATTGCGCCGGGCGAGAGCTAGCAGAGGCAATGGAGGCCGAGAAGTAGGACTTCTTAGCGGCCTTCACTGCCATCTCGTAGGTTTTCATAAAAACCCTATAAGATGTTCTTGAGGCTCCGTCACTATATAGTTATATAGTGATGTTTCAGTTAAAAGCCCTTGTAATCTTTCACACACAATGGCCAACCAGATGCCTCGAAGAATCCCAAAAGCAGGCCATGAGGGCAAGAGCTGCCTCATGCTTTTGTTCCCCAGCAATTAATATTCAGAGATATTCTGCCTGTGATTCTGGAAGTAGCCTAAAGCCATCAGAACCAGTAGCCATTAACCCTCATCAGACATTAAAAACGTGTGCTCAGATAGACAGAGGAAGGGAAGCAGCACCCTTTCTCCTTCCTCTCTCCTGAACTTCCTGTGCTAAGCATGAAAGGCTGCAGGGAGATTTTAACTGGACTTGATTAGGATTCCCTCTTCTACTGAGAACCCTGATTGTGCAGGAGGATAAATATAGCTAAAAGTGGCATGGCAGCGTAGGGATGATATGCATCTGTTCAGATGACTACTAATCATGATAGCTATGTGCTACCTTCATCTTCAGAAGCATCTCAATACCGGTTGCTGGAAACCATAGGTAGGGAGAGTGCTGCTGTGCTCAGGTCCTGCTTCCTTTCCACATGCATATGGTTGATAACAGGATGCTGGGCTAGCTGGATCATTGGCCTGATCCAGCTGGCTCTTCTTATGTTCCAGTGCAGATGACTGTGAGGCTTAAGTGCTTTACAACTTGCACTTGAGTGCTCTGTTTTCACTACATGACACAATCTAGACTGCAGTAGCAACCCACCTGAGCATTCAATCAACTGACTGCAAGGAGCATTTCCTGGCCATCAGGGTCTATAAAGGATTAGCTTCAGAACTTTCTTCTTGGCCTGAACATTACATCCCTTGCCCACTTCCTGCCTGATCTAAGTTCGTGCTCTACTTTTCTGCTCACTACTTTGTATTTTGTCCTGCCTTTTGGATAAACACCTGTGCCTGACCCACTTGGACTGGCATTGCCAAGAAACAGCTCTTCCAGGTCACAGAGCCTGACTTCCTGAAACCTTTGCCAACGACTAACTTTACAGTTAACTCTTACTACAGTCAGCATTACAAATAATGCTGATTCACTCACATACACAAATAACTTGTATCTTAGAGGAAGTCCTTGCTTGAGTGGAACACTTTCTGCTCAAAAAACAGAACTTCCCCCTCCTCATCCCTTGCGCGCGCCCCCCCAAAAAAAACCCTGCTCTGGCAGTTCCCCCAGCCCTCCAGAACAAATTTGGGAAGTTCTGGGGGGCACCCAGTGGGAGGAGATGGAGGACAGGTTTTGTTGCATTTGTGAAAGTCACTCTACTCATAATGATTTTGCTGGATTCAACCCACACACCAGTTTAGCAAATGACATGGATTTGTGATCATTTACCTTCATGGCTGTTAAACTGAGAGGAATCAACACAGTTTCAATTTAGCTAGTTTACAAACTGGTCAGCTGACCAAAAAAAAGGCTGAAGGGAGCAAGAAGTGAATATGTATGGAGCCTGAAAGAACCAAGCTGCTTTGCACACCAGAAATGAATAGATGCATTATCCATTCAGAAGGGGTGTTGTCCAAACAAAAAACAAAAAACAAGAAGGTCCCCTCCACCCACCATGTTCCAACCCATCTGGATCTCCAACCAGCAGGTCAGAGTGATAAATGGACAGCCTGAAGACAAGTTGAAGGCTACACAAACACAAAAGGTGATAAATGGGTCATTTCTCCTTCTCTTTCTTCACCACCCACAGGTGTGGAGTGCTTTTGTTTGTGATGCTCTCACAGGTCGCTCTGGGAATTGAAACGCTGTGGAAGAACTCTGGGCCTCTTCAAATAAAGCTGACAAAAAGCGAAACTAATTGTGTTTCATGGCCTTCTCAGTCCACTGCTCTTCCATACGTTTCAGCACAAAACAGCTGTAGAGATGAAACACACACACAGGTAACTTACATTAGGCTTGGTAAGCGAGATGAGCGCCACAACCCCAGAGTCAGTCACGACTGGACCTAATGATCAGGGGTCCCTTTACCTTTACCTTTTTATGCACCAAATGAGAAATAATTAGATTATTTTAAATGGTTCTCGTATGTTGCAAACCCTTAAGACTTTCAAAGAGGGTGAAGTTGTTTGGGAAGCAGCTCTCAGTGAGACTTGTGACACCATAAGAGACCTGGCTACTAGGGTAAGTCTTTCTTTTTCTTTTCTTTTTAAAGGTACTCTTGACAGAATTGTTCAAATAATATTGTTCAGTGGACTTTTGGCAGGGATACAAGCAGGATGTCAGGAACTGTATGTTTTTCTCAAACACGAACAATTCTCATATAAATTGGGTACTGATCTCTGACTGGCTGCCTAAATTAAAAGACTCAAACCTAGGGACAATAGGCATACTAGACCATGAGGAAGTTATAACAAGGCTTCAGTTGGATCCTGACAGAGAAACAAGCAGAACCTGCCAGTTAAATCCAGTGCTGCTTCTCAGAGCAATTACATTTGAAAGGGTCAAGGAGGGTTTGCAACAGTGTTTCGTTAACTACATCCCTACTCTGCAGCAATGCTATGGGATACAATGGAGTTAGTTCCAAGAAGGACATTAATTAATCAACCAATCAAGCATGAGGTTCAAAGGAGTAGAAGCTGGGAGGAACTACAGAAGGAAATAGATGAGTAAGAGGAGGCACATGAACAATCAGGGAGCTGGTAAGATACAGTACAGTACAATCTTTTGCCTAGAAAAGTATGCTAAACCCATACACACACACACACACACACACACACACACACACACACACCCCTTACACTCCATTCTAGTTTAGTCCATTCTGCCAACACCATTTCATTCCCAACTAATTCTTCTGCATGAGTAGGCCAGGGTTAGGGTTAGGGTCTGAATCTGTAAATTGATTCCATTGAAACATACTGCATTTTAGTGATCCCAAGACAAGAAGCTTAGGCTTTTAGGGATGTTGTGGTTTTGGGTCTTGGTTTGGATACTGATCCTCCACGCACTTGTCTGGATATCATCTATATGTAAAACAGAAGACAGAGACGAAGATTTCCAAGCATGCTAAAATGTTTATTTGTGAATCAAACAATGTGGGGAAAATCTCAATCTTAGTGCAAACACGCAACCATTGCATCGCTCTCATGCAGGCAATAGTGGGCACTGCAGCTCCTCGTGAATCCACAGGTCTCAGCTGCCAGATGTGGTGAGCACGGGGTGGGCGACATCAGAAGTAGTCGAGTAGAAAAGACAGGAAGCATTTGGGATTTGTTTTGAACATTTATTGATGCAAGAGCAAAGCATATGACTACAGAAACCAGGGTCAAGCAGGGGTGAGGGTAGGGGAAGAGATTTGATTCTAAGGGAAATCTAGCCTGAGAAGCCAGTCAGCTGACGAGCGGGTGCTCATTGGCTGGGGCAGGAGCAAAGGGTGAAGAGCGCCCTCCACACTCTGTCTGTGTCCAGACCGTGAGTGCCCATCCACTGGCTGGTGGGCGGGGACGGGCCATGGAAGGTGCTCTTCACCCCCACACCCCACCCTAGCGCACAGGGGCCGACAATCAGCTGGTGGGCGGGAGCGGGGCGACCCCAGAGGTGAAGAACATCCTCTGCACTGACCCAGAGGGCTCGTGCACCGGGCACGTGCCTAGTTTGCACCTCCCAAGATTCTGTGCCCAGGGCCATGGCCCCCCTTGTCCCCACACACACGCTAGGCCACTGACTGTGGGTCCTCATGACTGTCCAGTGCTCAAAGTGAGGGGAATACCAGAATCAGCAAGAAAGATAAGAATATATTGTGGTGTGCTCTGAACAATTATTTATTGAACAGAACGGCAGAGAACTAAAAAAAACACAAAAGAAAACATGTAACATGCAATGCTCAATCAACTAAGTCAGGGATTGGAGGAGGTACCTTGCTTATCTGGGCAATATATAGCCCAGGAGGCCAAGTGGCAAATATCAGGTGCCACAGCTGCTCTCCCACTACCTTTCTGTCTCTACCTCATCGCCTAAGCAGGGGTTTCTGTCACTCGACTGGTTGTCATCAAAACATTTAATGCAGCCTCTGTTGTTACTGTAGCACCGGAATAGGGGGGCACCCTGGATGTGTTCCCAAGCCCCCACCACAGCCTCATGCTCTTTCACTGTATCCTTCATGTAAACAGTCTCAAAAACAAAAGCCCTGGAATCCTCACTGTATCTGTTAAAAAGGGGGTTGACCATCTGGACAATGTTTCTCGCATCACTCTCATTGAGGCAACGTTCTACACAAGGAGATAATTTGCTAAAGAAGATCAGGCAACTATTTTGGTCTTTATTGGATAGGATCCTTTCTACAGGGCTATTCTGGCCTCCAGTCAGCAAGCGCCATTCCGCGTGCTCTTTACTACGGGTAAATCTTGGCCTAGCTGCAATGACATCTCCTATTGGCTTTGGGACATATATTCCATTCCTGTGGTCAAGAGCATTCTTCATCTGCTGCATTTTGCTCCTGGGCAAAACTGTCTCCAAGATCGTTGGTGTAGGTTCTACGCAGTATGCATGATCCAGTCTTATAGCCACAGCATAATGGATGTTTTTAATGCCATACCTAGGAATGAGCACCAAAAAATGATGGGAATGAGTGGCACTGAATGAGCAAAAAGTAACATTGAGTATTCCAAACTGAACTTTCATGTTTGGCAGCTGAATAGAAAGGCATTGTTAGAGGGAAGGATTTTTTTTATTGGGATGCGATGGTTGTGATGACTGATAAACAAATTCTAACTGGCATCTGCTAATATACCAGGACAGAGATGGGTTTTACAACAAAGATTCTCTAAATGAGGTTTAGTTAGCGTCACGGCTGTTACTGGGCAGGAAAACAATATTGTGGGTTTTTTATTTTTTAAAAAAGTTATCTTGCAACGAGCAGATAGTCTTGCCAACAAACTATTATATGCAATATGTGTATTTTTACATCTCCAGTATGTCTGGGTGTGCAGTGTGCTTCCAACAACTCTGTGAGGTAGGTTAGGCTGCAAGTTGATTCAGTTCCCAGAGCTATAAAGGTACACATGACATGCTTACAACATTATTTGTGGCATATCAGGAGTGTGGAAGCAAAAGTTGATGCCTATAGTGCAAGCACTAAAGATTGAGAACAACATTGAGAACAACAACATATGTTATTATAACAATACATTCTTTCAGCATAACCTTCCAAAATCCACATATATATTGGCATTCCCACCACATGTGGAAATAGGAGGCAAAACAGAAGTCAAGGATGCTTTTCTTAAGATTTGCAAAACAACTGCTGGTTAGTTTATAAGTAGGGCTGAATCAGTTGGGAAGGAGGCTTTTATGCTCACAAATGCTAATTAAGAACCCACAGGGGTGTGTATGTGTGGGCAGCCAGTTTATGTCAACAGTTTCTTCCTCTGTGCCCTTGCAAGAGCTTGTGCTTATTTTATAATGACCTGTTGAGTTAAGCTGAGGAGTGTAGGGACATGCTCTGAATTCCAGCTCAACCAAGCACCCCGCCAACAATAGTCCCAGGGCTCCTCTTCCTTGATCTAGTCTTTCAGATCAAGACATCACAATCAGTATCAACCTTTATTTTGGTCACAGACCAGCATAAGATAAAACCATCTTTCAATGAATGTCCATCATGGCAGCGCAGAATCTAGCAACTGAGGAGATAACATCTGGATTTTCCAAGACATCGCAGTGTTGCAACCAATTCTCCTTAACTTAGGTTGCTTCTCCAGACTGCAGCAAATTGTCCTTTGGGCTTTTAAGTTTTATGCCAGCTGTGGGCACTGGATTGTATTGTAACCTTGAATTCTCAAACACCCATGGGCATGTTAACAGCCCCAGTGTGGACACTACAGCCCCACGTGACTTTGCACATCTCTTCGGTAGGCGTGGGTGATTATTCACACTATAGGGTACAGCAGAAGAAGAAGAAGCAAACAGACAAGAAGCTTTTGTGATATGCTCCAAGGATTTTATTGATTCAACAGCAAAGCAAAGGACTACAAAGATCATATGTAATGCTCAATCTTGAGAAAACAAGAATATGGGAATGAGGAAGGGGTGACTTTGGTTCTTAGGCCAGCTGGCAAAATGCTAAGTGCCACAAATGCAATCTCTAGGTGGGCACTACTCTATCATTGGCTTTCCCTAATTGGCCAAGCAGGGACTGTTGGTATGAGATTGGTCATGGTTAAAACATTTGATGCAGGCTCTTTTACCTGCATAGCACCGAAATAGTGGGGCATGCTGGATGCGTTGCCAGGCCCCCAACACAACCGTATCTTCTCTTTCTGCATCCCGTGCGTAAATGAATTGAAAAACAAAAGCCCTGGCATCTTCATTGAACCTGTTAAAAAGGGGGTTGACCACCTGTACAATGTTTCTCATGTTATTCTCATTGAGACATCTGCCCACACAGGGGGATAATTTGCTAAAGAAGATCAGGCAACTATTTTGGTCCTTATTGGCTAGGATCCTTTCTACTGGGCTATTCTGGCCTCCGTTCAGTAAGCGCCATTCAGCATGCTCTGCGAAATATGTCAGAGACCTTGGCCTGGCTGCAACAACATCCCCTATCTGTGGTGGGTTATAAATTCCATTTTCCTCTGTAATAGCCCTCCGCATCTCACTCATTTGGTTTGTAGGTAAAGCAGTCTCTAAATTCTGCCGTGTAGGATTTCTGCAGTATGTGTTATCTAGTCTTACAGCCACAGCATAATGGCCAGTGCGGATGCCATACCTAAGAAAAAACAAAGGAAAGCTGAGAATGAGTGATGCTGAACTATTCCAAACCAGGTTCCTCCTTTTGGTCCATGTTGGCTTGATTTTTTATTATAGTCTCGGTTGCAGTCATTTGAATGGAGAGGCAGAGTAGTTCCAGTTCTACTGCAATATCTGTGATGTCCTATTTATAGATAGAAGTCACAACTTAATGTTACAGCAGATAGCTGGGGGTTTTTTGGGGGGATGGGATGCCAATAACCCAAGATGATGGAGTTTGTAATGTTACTTGGAATTAGATTTGCTAAGCAAAACCAGGAGTGCCATTAGAGCCAGACCAGTGGGTGCAGATCAGGGGTTCCATGAATCCTAGAGGGGGAATACCCTTTTCTTTTAAATACTGTGCTAGTAAAAGCACCATATTTGCTTGCAACAGAAGAAGGCTCTCAGCATATCAGCACTTTCCAGGACACCCATATGACTATGTGCTGCATAATCCCATGGTCGCCCCAGGAAGTGAAGCCAGACATTGTGCTGCTCTGAGTGCACAAGGTTTTTTAAAAAATAAAGACCACCTCAGCTATGGCACCGCTAATGTGTTTGGGGCACACTGGCTGAGGCTTGTAGCCAGCAAGGCCTGCATAATGCCCAGTTAGTTCCTTCCCAAATCACCCTGTTTCTCCTGCTGTGCCCTTTCTCCCAGAGGTAGGATGGTGGAGGAATGCGATTCAGTCCACATTTAAAGGTGAACCTGTTACGATATAGAAGCAATGCGGCCGCGAGCTGGTAGCTTGAAAGCAAAACATAATGGGAATGTTGGGACTGTTCCGTGGGAAACAGAGGGACAGTCAATTCACAGTGCAGAGGGCACCGGAATTAGCTCAGAGTGTAATATGAGCTGTACAGGAAGTACAGGAGGAGTTTGTCTCTCGACTGCTGGAGCTTGAAGAGAGCAGTCATGATTTTTGTAACGCTGCAAAGACAGAAATAAAGGCATGTAAATACGTTTCTGTCTATCTCTTTCCCCTGCCTGGGGGGGCAGGAAAGAGGGGGGTGTTCTTCTCACTCTGAGAAGGATCGCCTATCGCAACCTCTGCCTGGATCCTGCTGGGGAATGCAGACAGGGAGGTCAACAGGAGATCAAGCCGGGTGCCTGGAGAGTGGCCAGTTTCTCCTGATAAAGGCTTGATTCCCAACAGAACCTACCAAATTTTCACTTTCCAAAACAATTTGAAAACCAAAATAAGCCCCCCCCCCCCGAAATTCACACTTCTCCAAATTATGCAATGTACTTCTCAAGCAAAGTAATTTGCACAAATGACCATTGACATTGCTACAGCCCATTAAAGAGCAGCTTTGTTTTCATGAACTTGGGGGATAAGTGCGTTACCAGGTTTTCAGGGAAGTGAAAAGACCTCACTGCTAAAGCCCCAATAGAAAGCAGAAAGGCAAGAAAGGGTATAGGTGTAAAACAGATGGGAAACGTTCAACTTCATTGCTATGAGAGTTTGGAGGACCTGTTCTGAAAGCAGAAGAAAATGACCATTACAACATTAGAAGTACTATATAAATGGAAGAACCACTAACCTTTTAAAGTGCTGTAGAATTTAGGTATGCCTTCAGTGTTTACTGTTATGTCCTACCCATGTAAGAACAGATTATTTCCTTAACAAGCTCATTTGGAAATGGATATCTAACTTAAGAGGGTGATTGGAGGAGAAAGTTAGTTCCATAGGATGGAATTATTGTTTTTGTTTGTTATTATGGTGTATATTTTTGTGTTTTTATATTGAAACCTGCCCTGTGGTCCTTGAATGAAGGACAGAATAGAAATTTCATTAATTAATTAATTATGCATATATTAAGGTACAGTATGCATAAAAATGCATGTACATTGTAATAATAACATTAAAATCATTGTATTAGCGGAAATTTTTTTGCAAAAATGTGTATGTTAGGAAAAATTGCATAAAAACATGTGAATATAAATTTGCGCTAAAATGCTGGTGATTTTTCTCAGAAATGTGGAAAACTGAAGTGTGGAAAGATGAGAAACTGAGAGAACCTGAAATCAACCTGCTCACCCATCCCTATGCAGTGCTTCCCTCTACAGGCATCTTACTGTACAAGTTTTTATGTGCCTTGCAATATTCACAGTCATAATGATATTGCCTTCCCCACATCTTCACCCTGATATCACTTAAAGATGACAAAATGTGAAAGCACGCATGCCAGAAAAAAACCACATGGGCAGACCTTTGAAAGCAAACATAACACACACACATTTCCCCTCTGCACAAATATACATACACAGACAGAATCTTATTCATTTATCTTAGGCCACCTTGTAGCAGCATCATAACATGAAGCAAAACAATCTCCTCCATGTTGTATGAAATAATCAAAACGTAAATTATTAAGTGCTCGCTTCAGCAGCACATATACTAAAATGTAAATTATTATGAGTATGAAAGCAAAATGCTTTATTTGGCCAAAATACCAACATTCTTGTTTGTTTTAGTCCCATGATTTTGTTTTGAGGGGTTTTTCGAAATGTGTTGAACACTTGCTTGGAAAGCCCCAGAAAAATCCAAAACATTACTCACTCTCTGATGTAGTCAATGATTGCCTTCAGCTTGTCTGGATCTATAGACCCAAAGGCTCCACTTGTCAAACACAGCAGGAAAGTCACACTCAACAGGCTGAAACCCAACTGACTTCTGGACACCTGTCAGAAGAAAACAAAAAGAGAGGGCATTGAGAGTAGCGTTATTGGCTAGGTGTTTCCAGCCACTCGGCTCCACTCCCTGCCTTTGGAAGGGTCATAGGAAGCTGCTGCCTGAATGGTGACTGTCTTTGGGAAGCTGAGAGTCCAGAAAATTGATCTAACTGGCTAGCAGTAGTGGGTGGAGACCCTGAGACTGGTAGAGGTTGCCAGAACTAGACTGCAGAAGCTAGGCTATACCATTCAGATAGGGGTGTAGCTGGACCATCAGCCCAAACTGATAGTAGACACTCCATGCCAATGAGGTTTCTTATGACTCAAGTGACAATAGTGGCTCCAGAAATATCCCCAATCTATGCATTTCCAGTTTCATACACCTACTCCTTTATTAGCTACATGAGGGTGCAATGCTATCTGGATATAAGATATACCTATAAGATCCCAGTTCTAAAACGATTACATTGTACTTTAATTTTATTACTGTAAATCTTGAACATTTGTCTTTGAATTTAATCGTCTTACATCTTGTAAGCTGTTAATTGTTTTGAGCTGATTGGAGCTCATCCTTGTTGTCAGGAAAGCAGCACATAGATATTAAATCAAAATCCTAATGTTGTAGAATTATACTGTTATTGTTTTTCTTTTCAATGAAGTTCAATGAAGCATTATCATCATTCCTACTTGTTTTGTAAGTAGGAATGATGATAATGTCTTATTGGTATGAATGTTATATTTACACTTCCGGGGTGGCGCCTCCGGAAAATGGCGGAATCCCCTTCGAACTGAAGGGAACCCGCTGCACGGAGGCTTGGGTCCTGCCGCTACGGCGCAGCGGAGACCCTTAAAAACCACAGGCGGAAGAAGCCTGTGGACGTGGGACTCGCACCGAGAGCGCTCTCTCCCCTTGTACAGGAGCCCGGTAACGGGCTCCGGAGTGGGAGGTGCGTGGTGCTGTGAGTCGTCTGCTTCCTCCGTGCAGCAAAGCCGCACTGCCGTTTTCGGAGAGCGCTGCCTTTTTCCTGGACAATTTGGCATCTAAAACATCTATCCGTGAGTACCTGATCTTGGAAGAGCTGAACTACTTTTAAGACTGGTGAATAAATAAATAACATTGGATTTGGACTTGAAATTGAATTTAATTGGGACTCGGAACGGAAAGGTCTAAACAGGAAGTCAGCCTTCCGTTCTTTTGTTACGTGAAGAAAGCAAAGACAAAGTATACTAAAGCTTGAAAATTAAATTCTGAGAGAACTAAAATTCAACATCTAAGATTTCTGAACCCCCCTTTGACTGCAGGAGAAGAAGGGGGTTGTTTTGGTCTTTTCAACCCTGCGGAAGTGAGTTTAAAATAAAGTAATTTTCCACCGCCCTGAACCAGGAGCGGGCTGTCAGAACTGACGTTTTGAAGCTTATCCAGCTGGACAGATAGTTAAAAGAAGGGTAACATTTTGACTTTACTGTTGCCTCTTGAATTTGGAAGGGGGAATTTTGGATAAAGTGTTTCTGGAAAAAGTAAGATTGTTGCTGTTGTTTTTCCCCCTCTTAAAAAAAAAAGGGGGGGGTTTTCCATCTAGTGGAACTGAGTGAAATTGCAATGCAGAGAGTATAAAAGAGAAGGACTATTCTCGTGGGAAAGAATCTTCTTTGACCTTGAAGGACAATGCTTGTACAAAGGCTTGAACAAGTGTTCCTGGAAGGTTTTGCAAAATTAAGTGCCCAGCTGGACCAGATGCGTCAGGAGCCGACCTTGATGATGGAAGTTACCAGAGCACAGCAGCAAACAAATGAAATTCAGTTAAAGTCTATACAAGTATATGAACCTGCTGTAGCGACGGAGGCTTCAGAGATGGAGGGATCTTTGGATGGGCAAGATCAGCAGTTGAACTTGATAAATGAACTTGGGGCAAACCTGATTCGGAAAGATGAAATGTGGTCAGATTTGGAAATGGGGGGATGGATTGACACCCCTCTATATGGTTATTTGGACTTTCCGAGTCTAGTGATGGGCCATCAGAAGATTGGAGTAGTCGAAGTCTCCAAACTTTGTGGAAATTGGAAGTGGTATTATTTGCTGTCTGGCTTGGGTAATGGGTTTGGGATGGACTTGCTGCAAAGAGTCAAAAGCATCTTTTTGCTGGAGTTTCCACGACCGAAAGGGAAATATCAACAAGAGTGGCGAAAGGGGCAAGAAAGAGACTTGAGGGCCTCGGATACGAGACAACCAGGTTAAGGAGCCGGATTATTGAGGTTAAAAGGACTGACAATCCCGGGTCCAGGGGAGGGGAGGTTGGAAGCTGACTGGACTGAATCTGACTTATTATTTTTTCTTTCTTATTTTTTAATATTGGGAATGTTTATAAATGTTTGAAGGATGCTGAATGAAATTATATGGCTTAAGTAAGGATTGGTAAATGATTTGTAAAAAAGTAATGATGTAAGAATTTGCTAAATATTGAATATAAGTTTGGAGTTTTAAAGTTTTTATATGACAAGAGGGAAAATAGAATAAGGAAACGTAATGATAGATTGTTATGAAAAAACAGAAAGGATTTGCTGTAAAAATTAAAAACTAAGAAACAAGAGAGGGGAGGAGGAGGAAGTCTAGAAAGGAAGTTAATGGAGATCGTTAAGAACTTTATACTTCTGTTTTTCTGTTTTTCTTTTTTTCTCTTTTGCGGCTGGGTTTTTCTTTTTCTTTATTATTTCTGTATTATTTTTGTTTTGTTTTGTTTTGTATTTTCAAACTTTTTTGGAAATTTTTGTTGTTACTCTTTGAAAACTTAATAAACATCAATTTTAAAAAATGAATGTTATATTTATTCATAACATGTATTATATGCCACAATAATAACAGAAGCTTGAGAGAGGCATATCAAATAAATTGTAACAGAGTTACTCACTGTCTGCTCCATAGTAAGAAAGTAGCTTGTCTCCCAGCCAAAGATGGTCTTCCTCCCACTTACAACAATAATTCACCAGCTCTTTATATAGCTATTCTGTTTCTCTTAGGAAAGGTTGGCTACCCCTCCTTGTATATAGAACTGCCAATCACAAAACAGAGAGTTGGTCAGGGTTTTTTTTAAAAAAAAAAAAAACACCTGACCAATTACAGGAAGAAATTGTCACGAGGCATGGAGGATCTGCAACTCTTTCTGTTCTTGGTAAGAGAACTGAAAGAGAAACCCTATGGTCACTTCTTCCCTCTGCAACGTGTAATGACTGTGAAGGGAACCCAAATATTGTTTGCTAAGCTCTTTAGACTGCAAATACATTTGCATCAGCATTTTGGGAAGATTCTTGGTACTGAAACCAGCATCATTACAAAACAGTGCATCAGTTGCTGACTTGCATCTCTACAGCAGTGTACTTCAGCCTTGGGTCCCTGGATGTTGCTGGACTACAACTCCCATTACCCCTAGGCTTCTTGGTCAATGGTCAGTGATTACAGTGGTACCTCAGGTTACATACGCTTCAGGTTACATACACTTCAGGTTACAGACTCCGCTAACCCAGAAATAGTGCTTCAGGTTAAGAACTTTGCTTCAGGATGAGAACAGAAATTGCATGGTGGTGGTGCAGCAGCAGCAGGAGGCCCCATTAGCTAAAGTGGTGCTTCAGGTTTAGAACAGTTTCAGGTTACAAACAATGCTTACAAAGATTATTAAGGAAGGTATGCATAAAAATGAAAGAGTGTGTGTTTGTGTAAAAATTGCTTTCAGCGGTGTGCGCATTTCTCAAAACTGCATATAAAAATGTGCTTATTGTGAGACATCTATACTAATATGCTGGTGAATTTTCGTGAGTTTTCAAGTGTATACTTAGGCTTGTGGTGCTAATACCAGAGGCAGCAAAAAACAAGAAGCTATTTTGGTAAGATCTCAATATTTATTCATTCATCAGCAAAGCCGTAAGGTATATGCATCATATACAAAGGTTAAGTTGGTTAAAGCAGCGGAAGCCTTGACTCTATTGGCAATCTACACAGGAGCCCACCTGACAATCATGAGGTCCCACAACTACCTGCCACAACTATCTTAACCATCTTTCTGGCTCTAATCACGTAAGCCTGGACTGTCAGCCTTTTGGTTGTTGTCAAAGCATTGAATACATTCTCGGTTGTCATTGTAGCACCGGAATAGGGGGGAATTCCAGATCCTTTCTCAGGCCCCCACCACAACCTCCTTCTGTGTGTCCTTCCCATAAACAGTCTCAAAAACAAAAGCCCTGAAATCTTGAGGGAACCTGTTAAAAAGGGGGTTGACCATCTCCACAATCCAGTTCTCGTCTTCCTTGTTGAGACAGCGGTCTGTACAAGGAGATAATTTGCTAAAGAATATCAGACAACCATTTTTACCATTATTTTCCAAGATCCTTTCTACTGGACTATTCTGGCCTCCAGTCAGCAGGCGCCATTCAGCATGTTCTGTATAAATAGTATAAATAGAAATGCAGTACATCTCACAATAGTGAAGACTGTGACTAGTTGATCTCTGGGCTTGCTCACTCTGCTGTCCAAGTTCTAAGTATTGATGGGCAACTTCCAAGCCATTGCTTGCCCTTCTCGTGGTTCTTTATCTTTAAATAATACTTGGACCAAACTGCCCTACAATTAAAGGCTGCCTTCAGACAGATAACTGTTTATAACCTTCCCCTCCAAACCTCCAAATCTGAAGCTGCCAGCCCGCTCCCCTTTAAATCCAGTGGGAGAAAAGGGAGAAAGTGTGTGTGTGTGTGTGTGCGCGCGCGCACGCAAAAAACACATACAACAAAAACCATAATAACACTAATAACACAATCTGACAATTCAGACTTAAACACTGATAGAAGTAGGGATCAGATGGGATTACCATGAGGAATTATAAAATATACATCAAGCCATCGTGTCCACGATGAAAGCATTGTGTTGACTGGGTTTGATATATTGACGATAATTTCTGATTAAATCCCATAAGATTCTACATTCATGCCCTTTTAATGCCCTTTGGCCTCTGCTGCCCATTTCCCCTTGCCTGACAAATCACGTACACACTTAGACAGGCAGGCGTCCTGTACTGGGCAGTTTCGTCTTTGTAGTTTCTAATAGGTAATTTTAGGATGCTAATCTTAGGGCCAGGAAACAGACCTCACATGAAGGTGATACTGATTGCTATCCTCCTGGCCATCCTCCTTATCATATGTATTGCTTGTTTATTACCTCCGGGATTGCCAGATACTCTTCTTTGTAGTTCTGTTCTTTGTTTACCCCAGAAATATTTGTGCTTAATTAGTTTTAGTGGTTTAACTTTGTCCCCACGTGGGTTTGTGGAATTGCTCAGAAGAAATCTGATTGGTTCTTTTGAACACTCTGTAAAAAAGTTCTTTTGTGAATAAAAACGGCCTGGGCCAGGGGCTGCTGCACATCAGACAAGCACAGAGAGACACGATTATACGCACTTTCTCCGAGAGCCTTGCTGGTCAAAGCCTCGTGTCTTGATTTTTAATCAGTGTCCAATCCTTCCTTTACTTTGCAAACGCAACAATATACCTATGACTACACCTTTTTAACAATATTTCCCCACCTCTCCTCCCCCTACTTCCCACCACTTAAATATTCCTTCCAGATTTCTTCATATTTATCCACTCTTAATTTGCATTGACATGCAATTCATTCGTATGTAGGTAGTCTGTCCATATTATCCATCCATGTGCTCAATGGAATCTTTTTGCGGCTCTTCCAATTCATCAAAACAAGTTTTTTTGCTTCTAATATGGCATGGTACATCCTTTTTTTTTTTACCCCTTGTAATCTCCCACGTTTCCGGAATATAATTTAGAATTAAATTCAATTCCCCTAAATAACAATTTCTTTTTATTACTCTTGCTATAAATGTCCTCACCTCGCACCAAAATGATCTTATCATCGGGCAATTAATCATCATATGTACTAGTTCGCATTTTTACTCCCACATCTCCAGCAGTTGTCTGCACTTGTTATTTTCTTCTGGTATAGTTTTGCTGGAGTCCAGTGGACTCTGAATATTATTTTCTGCTGAATAAGTCTTAGTCTTAGATCCATAGAGGCTATCTCTGTTGATTTTATACTTGACTCCCATATATCATTTGTTATCTGTACCCCTAACTCTTCATTTTTGTCTATCATATTCTAAATCATATTTCTTCCTGTTGAGTAGGGTTTTATATAGTGCAAGTGTAGAGCTCTTTGTTTCTGTTGCAGAAATTAAATCTTGTAGCAGCATGGGTGTTTCCGATGCTGCTAGAGCGTCAAGGCCAAACTGCCTTTCCAACATATGTTTCAATTGGATGTATTGCCATTGTGTTTCACTGGTTAATCCATACTTTACTTATATTCCACAAATTTGTAATTTTCATCAATTAATTGATTCAATGTCAAAATACCTTTTTCCATCCAATTTTGCCAAATTATTACTTGATTTCCAATTTTTTATTTTGGGTTGGCCCATATTGTTAATTTCTCCTTATTATTTTTATTTATATTCATTCAAATTTTTATAGGTGCTTTCATAGTCTCCAGGATAATAGGATATTTCATAAATTTGGAGCCGAGTTTAGTCCACCCTACAAGAGGTTCAAAGAAACTACATTCGAGAGTATTCGTGCTAGCTCTCCAATCGTTAGTCTTACTCAGCATGTAGGCCTGGTGATATAGTTCCAGATCTGGGAAACCAAAGCCACCTTCCTTAGTTGGAAGTTGCATTTTATGTAGTGATATTTTTAGTGGCTTTGTACCCCATAGGCACGATCTAAATAGTTGATTTGTTTTTTGGAAGTAAAATTTGGGAACATGTATTGGTAATCCTCTAAGAATGTATAAAAGCTTCGGAACGACATTCATTTTGAGGGCATTAATCTTCTTCTTTTATAGAGCCATTCCACCTCTCTTGGGGGGGGGGGAGCCTCTCCTACAGTTTCAAATTGTATAGAGTAAACAAAACAGGAATGAGTTGAGTTCCTAGGAAGGATCTGAAGCTCGTCACTACATGTAAAAAGAATGGTGGAACAGGAACTGTGCGATAAAACATAAAAGACAGTTGACAATCAAGGAGGGTGGCCAATTACTAATGCAAATTCCACCAAAGAAAAGGAACTGGTATTTCTGGAGAAGTGTATAAATTGCCACATGTCAGTCGTGGAAAGAGGCGTACATTACACTTATACCTAAAACAGAGACTGAGAAGACTCAGCTTAAGAACTACCGCCCTATATCGTTACTTAATGTGGATTACAAAATTTTTGCAGACATTTTGGCCAAGAGATTGAAAAAGTATTGATGGAAGAGATTCATAAAGACCAAGCGGGCTTTCTCCCGGGAAGACACTTGTCTGACAATTTGAGGAATATAATTGACATTTTGGAAAAACTAGAAGTGAATATTAACACTAAAGCAGTTCTGATATTTGTGGATGTGGAGAAAGCTTTTGAACAATATCTCTTGGAGCTTCATGAAGAAGAACCTACAGGGGATGGGGGTAGGCCAAGGTTTTGAAAATGGTATAGGTGCAATATACTCTGAACAAAAGGCTAAATTAATTGTAAATAATGTGGTGACGGAAGAATTTAAGATAGAAAAAGGGACACGACAGGGGTGCCCAATCTCCCCACTGCTTTTTATATCGGTCCTGGAGGTTCTGCTGAATATGATTAGAAGGGACCGGTTGGTTAAAGGTATACAGGTCGGAGCCAAACAGTACAAACTGAGAGCATTTGCAGATGACTAAGTACTGACGTTACAGGAGCCAGAATCTAGTACTAAAAGGTTCTTAGAATTAATTCAAGAATTTGGTCAAGTGGCAGGATTTAAACTGAACAAGCTAAAAACTAAGGTTTTAGAGAAAAATTTAACACTGATTGAAAGAGAGAGGTTTCAGAATGAGACAGGTCTGACTGTGGTTAAGAAAGTGAAATACCTGGGGATTAATATGACACCCAAAAATGGGAACTTATTTAAAGATAATTATGAAAA